CCTTCGCTCTCCTTCGCTCTCCTTCGCTCCTTCCCTGGCCTTCGTGTCGTTGAAAGCCTTCACCGTCCCCGAAAAGGACCCACTGCCACGCGTTTCGTCAAAGGCCTCGAGACAGAGAGGTTGAGAAATGATTGGACCAGATGATTGGAGAAGATGATTCGGAGAGCGCTCGTGGGCCTGGATGTTGACGGCATGCGCCCCCTTTGGCCCCGGTGATACGTTGAAGGACACGGCCTGCGCGCCAGCTTAAAGACCGTGACAGCGTGACGACCGTGACAGCGCGCAGCGCACACGGCTGGGCCTGCCCGGCTGACACCTTCGCCTCCTCGATGCTAGTCCTTGCAGTCTGCTCAAGTTGCTCATTAATGTTAGACCCGCTTTAGTAGGGGCCTCCCCTTTAAAGTCAATTTTGCCGAATTATTCAGGACCCCCTGACTGTTTGCGGGGTCCTCTTTAAAGTCAACTCGTCCGGGCGCCGTAAGAAAATTCCACGTGGCGCGCCTTTAAAAAAGATAACCGGGCATCGCTGCCCCTTTTAAACCTATCTAAACTCCTCCCTATTGAAATCATATAAGCCCCCGGGGCCGTGTAATCAGGCTCCCATCCACGCCTCAACTGTTCGGGGGGGGGGGGGCCCAACAGATTAAAGAGGGTCCAACATTATGTGGCAACCAAACCCATTTCCATACATTCAATTACGCGTTTTTCTTTGGCGTGCGGACGCGAACGCGCAAAAACATGCAACTTTCTCTTGCGATACTATTTGATTGAGTCTTGTGATTTCCAGGGGCAGCCGCACAGTCGGGATCCACCAGTCTTTGAGCCCCGAGGTCCTTGAGGTCCGCCAGGACATGGATTTAGGGTGCCTTGTTTCTTGTTGTGTCGGGGTTTGGGGGGAATGTTGTTTGTAAGTTATATAAGCTTCTATACTTCCAAGTCGCTACGACGTTACGAGCTTTTGTTCGTAACGGACGCGCCACATGTCGCCCACCAAGGGTTGAAGGGTTTGTGGGGCCCAGGGATCCTGGGGTTGGAGAGTTTAGGGTTTAGGGTGTCCGGGTTTTGAGGTATTCATTATTCCAGGCCTTGGGGCATTTTGAATGCTGCGGAGATTTGCGTTTTTGTCGACTGTTGTTATGGACGTTTGCGAGTTTTGCTTTTGCATTTTTTGCGAAAACAAATTGAACTTATGCGAACTGCTCTCTCTCTCTCTCTCTAAACGCGGGTTCTGTTTTGCAGACATATGTGTTTTTTCCGGGATTGTCTGCGATTGGGCTTTTTCAAAATTTCGATCCTCGACTTCTCGATATTTGCGAGAATGGACGTCTCAGCTGCTTTCGGATTTTCGAACCTTTGCGAGGTGCCTTAGTAGTTAGGCGGCTGTGGATTTGGCTTCATGTTGCACCCGCAATATTCTAGGGAGCAGCTATTATGAAAAGTTTTTCGGCTATTCAGGATCCTGGCCCTTTTGTTTTGGGGGTCCGCTACAATGAACAGTTTTCGGGCCGGGCCTGTTTCTTTAAATGGTCTTTGAGGTTCAAGTTCTTAGTTTGAGATCTGGTTCCAAAACCCTCAAGAGAGCTCACCCCTTCCCTGCCTGCCTGCTTGGGGTCTTTTTTTTTCAGGGTCCTCGTCTGTGGGGGGGGGGGGGTAAGCTTATTAAAGCAGGTCCAACATTAAGCATTTTAATAGCAATGCTTGCTGAGTGAAAGGCAGGACAGGCTCGCATGGTCTGCTCAGCTTCCAAGTCTTTCTTACATTGGGTTCAACGCTCGTTCCAGAAGATCCCCCCTGAGTTGCGTCCTGTGAGCAAAGAGGTCCTTTCCGTAGAGGCGCGTCATCGCCTCACTGCTGAGGTGCCCGAAGCCCTGTCATGTCGGAAGGTCGATGAAATTATCACTTCAACTCAATCTCTATACTCTATACTCACACTGCCCACAAACAACATGCATGACAACTCCATCGTGCCGTCTGATCGTTATGTAGTCACACAGGTTGAACTTAGACGGTCTTCGTACCGGTTTTTCGCCCAGAGAACTCAGACTCATGTAACAAAAGTTACAAGAGTACATTCCGGAGTTCTTCATCTGAGAGAACACGCCATTAGACATGGTGAGCGTCTTTCTGGCTGCCCTCGGTTTGTGGCTAAACAAGGGTTGTAGCGGTCGCCTGGGTCTGTGTGCTCATGACTTACTCCAATTCTAACTCCTCTCATACGGTCCCAGAGGCGTCCCATTGACTTGATTGTGAATTGTGTTGTCTCCACGATTGTTTTCTCAGCAGGGCTTCCTGTTCAGATGCTAGCTCAGCCATCGCAGGAGCTGAGGGCACAAAAGAGGATTTGAGCAGGATGCTCCCAGGGTTGCGATGCAGAGTTGTTGCCAGGTGTGTGTGGACTCTTTTGTGGGTGAACGTTCGTTCAATCAGCGTTGCCATCTTCTCCAAGACATCCGCGGAAGCCATGCGCTGTGGCGTGGCGCACGACATTATCCCTGGATGTGGAGATGGACTCGGGGCTTCTCACATTGTGGTTGCTACTCAGGCACCTTTTCACACTGTTGACAGCGACGTCTCGGGACCACCCTGGGAGCATGGCCAGTGCAGTTCTCCCGTTCTGCCAACGAAAGGCAACCAACTCCTTCTTATTCCTACTTGCCGGCTGGTTCTGCAGGGAGGCAGCCCGTGCAAGGTAGGAAGTGCGTCTAGCGTGAGCCAATTTTACTGTGCTAGTAGGAGCGCAGTTGTGCCTTGCATTGGTGACCTGTTTGTGGAATGCGCATCTCACCGCATCTGCTTGAGTGGCTACCGGCTAGATGCTTCCCTGTCAACCGTCGGTCTCCTCGAGGACATTCGTCTGGTTGTTGAGCGATCTGGGTCTGGGTGTCTCCTGCCACTCTGTCATTCTGTGCGGGCTGCCGACATAGCCAGATCTCACCCTTAAGTGAAGATGTGAAGTTGAAGTGGGAGGGTTGGTGCAGAGCTTCCGGAGGCTCCCGTGATGCTGAAGGCTGCAGGCTGTTGTGTTTCGTTTCCCTCTTTCGACAATGTCTTCGCCTCTCTTCTTTGGCCTTCCCACTGACGAGTCTGTGTCGTGAAGCGTTCCTTCGTCCACCACAACTTGCGGAAGTAGTAGATGATGCTTCTAGGGCGACAAACGGCAGCGGCTTGGCTCGGGGCTTGACAGTTCGCAGTCCGCCGCGGTTGACACCCTCATCCCTTTTCCATGGGCAATAAAGGCCCAGGTTGTTACGCTGGCATCTTCTGCAGCAGTCGCCGAATTGGAGCAAAATCAAGCAAACTTAACATACTCTCTCGGCGCAGCCAGGATGGTGGGATCGCACCGGGTAGGGGAGGGCCTGGAGCTCGAACTGCTCGAAACTTGAGCCATGCGGATGCGGCTCTCTCTTCTTCCTCTTCTTCCTCTTCTTCTTCTTCTTCTTCTTCTGCTGCTGCTGCTGCTGCTGCTGCTGGGCTTGAAGGACTCGCTCTCTCTCTCTCTCTTTCTCTTCTCCTTTCCCCAGGTTGCATGCACGGAGAAGCAAATCCTTGTGTTGTACCTTTCAAGGGACCGATGAGTCATCAGGGGAAACCTTCATTCTTGCTTTTTTGTTGCTTTCAAGGGACCTGCTATCTCGCTCTCCCTCTGCCTGTCTCTGTGCCCGACCTTCTCGTGGACCGCTTTCACCACACCAAAGAAGACGTCCGTTTCCTTGGGATCATTTCGCGGGAAGTTGCCGAAGCCGCCGTAGCCAAAGGCCATCGGGAAGAAGCCTGGGAAGAAGCCCTTGCCGAAGCCCTTGGACCACCGGCCCGGAGGGTCCTGGTATCTTCATCTCCGTCTGTCTTCTGTCAGTCTTCTGTCTTCTGTCTTCTGTCTTTCTCCACTCCGCTCTCCAGCTCCCTCGGCCCAGATGTCCAGTACACGCACATCAGAGGCAATTGGCCCGCGCTCACCCTCCTGCATGGACTTTGACTTTGGTGAAGAGGGAGACACACGGAAAAGGGAGGAGGTTCATAGACGCTTTTTGGAGGCACTGAGATAGGGATGCGATGAGGGCTCCCTCACCTTGGCGTGGAACTGCACATGCAAACCCGGCTCCGGCCAAGCATCGCCGAACTCGCTCCTGTGCGATCGCGCTACAGTACGAAGAAGGACTGAGTAAGGGATACTTCCACGCTGTGAGAGATGGGGAGGTGAGAGTCGGTGAGAGTGGAGGCTTAAGGGAAAGCACGGGCATGATATGCTGTGGCTCAGGAGTTCTCTCTGGCTCCTGATGAAGAAGCAGTCCTTGCCAAACAGGCTCTCGGTTGCAGGGCTGGACAAGAATCCGAAGCCTGATGTTGCAAACACGCGAAACACGCGACCGCACACGACAATATATGACAGCAGGCGGCAGGGAAAGTTTCTAAGGCAATGGCCCTTGCTCTGGTTGAAGCTGCGAACCTCTCCGAAGAAGAGCTGGCCCTTCTCTCCTTCCTCCTGGAAGCCGGGCTTCACCTGCACGTCCGTTGCTCGGGCGCCCTTCTCGCTCTGCGTCACGTTGAAGGTGACCTGGTCGCCTTTCTGGACGCCAAAGCCGCTCAGGTCATTCTTCAGCAGGAAGACGTCGGATCCGAACTGCTTGTGTGTCTCCGCGCACTCGATGAAGCCCCAGCCCTGGTGGCAGAATGCCAGCAGCAAGGCAAGTCTGTAAACTCAAAAAGCCTCTCTCAGCAGCCCTCGTGGCCCTTGCGCCTTGTGCGGGTTGAAGGACCGTACTGTGCCAGTGTAGGACATGGCTCACAGCGGTCACAGCGAAGACGGATGTGGCCGTGGCTGGAGACGGATCTCCAGCCCCCTTGATAAAAAGGCTCGTGTGCCGCCTTATAGTACTGATGTGAAGTTTGCGAGAGAACCATGCAATACCGTGACCTGCACAGCAAAACAGCAAACCTCTTTAAAGTCTCAAGTGGCACCTGGAAGAGCGAGGCCACAGCCTCCGCCCGGTCCTCAAATTGTCAAAACAGCAAAAACTTCGCGCTGCCTCTCAGCTTGTACGAGAATCGAGGGAAGGGCCTCGGGCAAGGGGCCGCCCCGCAGCAACCGCAGGAACCTGAACTTTGCAAAAAACACGTCTTCGGCCACCACTTTTCACCCCAAATGAATGCCTTGCTGAGCGGTTGTGACGATGCTCTCCCTTTTGTTCACGGCCACAGCTTCACACGGCTTCGTGTGGTTTTGGCTGCTGCAAAAGATGTACCTTCTGAGAAAAGCACTCCTCGTAGTCCTGCGCACAGCAACCTTGCCCTAGTTTAATTCCGCCAACATGAAACATGATCCAAGCTGTTCTCTATTGTTCTCTGCCCGGTCCATGGCAGCGCCTTTCTTCTTCTGCGACAGCTCCTGGAGCTCAAGAAGCGCGTTGAGCCGTGCTGCTTCAAACAGAGCAGACTAGAATAGAACTGACTTGAATTGAATTCGAATAGAATAGAAGGCTTCAAATAACACGAGCCTACGTCTGTCGCTTCCGACTTCGGATCCCCCAGGCCTTGAAGAGGAGCTCTTGGTCCTCCGGCGAGAGGCCAAGGCCCAGGACGCGGTTCAGGCCTCACATCCCATCACATCCCGTCGTATCCGTTTGTATTTAAGCCTTTATACGCTGTTCAAGCATCCTTCAACCGTCTTCAAACCCTGTCACTGCACTGAGCTTTCTCACGCTGCCAGTCCAGGCGCATGATCGTCCCGTTCCTGCACTTGGGGAGATATCTTGGCAGAAAAACGGGAGACACCTTGAGAGGCATAAAGCACAGAACCACTCACAGTCCGCTGCCTCCGGTAGTCATGGTTTTGAAGCCGCTGGACGAGGGCCAGCCAGCCTAGATCCGAGTTACAGTGCCATGCGCCTCTCTGCCCGTCCACCATGTCCACCCTTCCGACATCGCAGGCTGCCCTGCCACGAAGCCCCCGAAGCGCGATGCTGCGTCGTAGCCTGCTGGAGCATGCTAAAAGCCGAGAGAGGCCGCATTCGTCGCTACTTCCGCTACTTCCGGGCCTGTTCAGAACGTCAGCTACTGAGCTGCTACGCTCATCAAAGACCTGCCGTCCGGCCCACATACTTCACGTGCGCTGCACGTGCGCCACATGCGAAGAATGATAAGCGAAGGCTCAACTGTCTGAGATTCTGAAAGCGCGGCGATGGAGGATTTGGTGATGGCCGAGGCCCTGCAGCGGATGTTTCGAAAAAAGATGGCAAACGTGTCCTATCAAACAGTTTCGCCATCCGTGACTGTGCTGCCAGGCTGTGCGCTGCGGCCAAAGCGCCTGTGGTCCTTGGTTCGCACCCACTTGCTTCGACTGGGTTGACATGTTGTTTGTGTTTTTGTTGCTTTTCCCGGCGCCTGCTTGGCCTCCCTTTGTGGGCTTTCCATGGCGTAGGCCGATGGCCCCGCGTGAGGCGGAGGCCTGCCAAGAAGAGGCTTCCGAAATCGTTGCAGGGGTGATGCACCATGATGCACCTGCGCTCTGCCATGGGGGATGGGGCCGACTCCAATGATGCCCTGCATCGCCTGCAATACTCAGACATGCGCGTCTCAGCCGCTGCTCGGCCGCTGCTCTGATTTCTCCTGCCTCGGGGACTCGGCCTCGCCATCGGCCCAGGCCTCCCGCGGCTGTGCCTCTCAACGTCAGTGAAGCAAACCCGTCTACTCAGTCTACTCACTCGCATCCCCCCGGCAATATTGGCGCACCGCTGCCCTGCCTTGGGTACATCCCATACGCGCTGCCTCTCCGCGTAGACAGGACGAACGAATCCCACTGCGTAAGCTGAAGCTTGTATAAGTTCCAGGCACGATCAAATCGAATAAAGAATCGTTTTCGACCTCACACTGGTAATCTCGGCATGCTGAATGCTGAGGACCAAAGAATTCATGGGATCCCGTCTTCATGCCATGACCATGCCATGCAAACATCTGCCGACTCCCCTGGTGTCGGTGAAGCTTGCTCCGTTGTCTGCCTACTCCTTTCAATTCAGTCGTGTCGGGGGCCCCCCCCAAACGTCACAAACATTAGCATGTATGTATTGACTATCAGCTGACCTGGCCAGTTGGGACATTGTTCGCATAGTTGTCGGGCTTTTTGCTATCATTGATGAAATATTTTTGGCAAGAGCGACAAGTTCTTTTGTTATTAAACAAGTAGTCTAAAATGAAAAGAAGCCACAATGCTAATTAGCGAAGTTAGGAATGGGATCATATAGTTCTCAAAATTGGTACTCAAGTTCTACGGCACCGTGTCCCTGGCCGTGGAAGACACGACTTCATAGTAAGCGAGGAAATCGGCGAAGGAGACCATGCCTGGAGAAAACAAAGCGGAGGTCAGTGGAGATCGCACGTGAGCCCGAAACGTATCTGATTACCATTCCCGCACCGTTCTCGCAACCACCGAGAACATGCGCCAGTTGGCTGAAGGTGTCCAGGAACCTGCAGCATAACACAATCAAAAATACGCATAACGTGCAGTCTCGATACTTCTCAAAATTGCTGAGGGAGACGCTCAGCTAGGACGTGGCCAGGCTCCTGGGCACAGGGAGGCTGCGTGTCAGCAAAGCTACACATCTGTGGCTCTCGACCCATCACAAAAAATGCTTGAGGAGGCTCCAGCTGGCCGCGCACCACTAGTGGGTGGGCCTGGACTCACAGCAGCTCAAGCACTGCAGCCTGCAGAAACGTCTGCGTTCTCTCGCCTGAGCTACAAAGCGCTCCTTGAGCACGGCTGGGCTCACCTGTTGCAGCGGCTTGCGCACCATCCACATTATACTACATTACATCTCACATCATCTCGCTGCACCCCCCGAGGCCACAGCTCGGGAGCTCGCGTCCGCCGCGTCGCCTCTCGGCTCTTGCTGAGTTCCCTTTCCATCTGTCTTCCACCTCCTTGTGCCTCCCAGCGCGCCGAAGGCCCGCTCCACCAGCCGCCGCCGCATGCCCCCCAGCTCCTACTACGGTGGAAAGGCATCGCAGCTCTGCAACAGCTCCCTCGCACTCGCACCCCGTGCAGCAGCTTGAAAAAGGCCGGCAACTGGATCTTGCCCTTGGTCGCCGCACACGCTTCAAAGACGGAGACCTCAGGTCATGAAAACAAACCGGAGGTGCGATGTTGCGAGTTCTGAGCATCGGAATCTAAAGCTGTTACATGCCGTTATCTTCCTGGATGGTCCTTGGCGTATGATGGCCTATGTCGTATGAGTCGTATGTCTCTCAGAACTCGCAGAATTGCTCGACTTCGATCGCTTGATTTCTCGATAAAGCTTTTCCTATGGCGCAAGCGCTCTAAAAAAATCACACACACATACACCCACAGCCCGGCGGAGGTGTTTTTTTTCCTAACGTTGGCCCTGGCTCGTGGTCCTTGCTAACGTTGGCCCAGCAATTCTTGGCTCTAAATGCTATGAAATGCAGCATTTCCGGGTGCTTGTGGGCCCTAAACGCCTAAAAACACAGCGTTTCTGCGTATTACAAAGCTTGAATGCTGTAGATTGCAGCATTGCACCTGCTTGCAGGCTCTAAATGATGAAAAACACAACATGTTTATGCTATTCTATTAATGCACTATTGTACATGATTGTATATTCTTGAAGCTATTGACCTTAATTATTAGCCATTCTTGTATATTACTTCATTCTTGCATAGTCTTCTTGATTGTTGCACTTTTTTGAACGCCTCGTATATTATTGTATACTTTCGTATATTGTTGTATACTATTGTAAATTATTGTATAATATTGTAAGCTATTCTTATGCATATTCTGGTATATAGCTGATGAATATTTTTCCTTGTATGTTCTTGCTTATTAGCGCGTATTGTTGCGCATTCTTGAATTTGTTGTATATTATTGTATATTGTCGTGAATTATTCAAAAATCTTGTATATTATGGAATATTATTGTATTTTCTTTATGGTTGTATCTTCTTATAGCTTACTGTATATTCTTACATTTTATCCATTCCTGTATGTTGTTGTATATTACTAAATATTATTGCAAAATATTTTATAGTATTGTATAGTATTGGATAACGTTGTAAATTATTGCATGCTCTTGTATAAAATTGTAGATATACTGCTGTGTATTATTGAATATTATTGCATTGTCTTGCATTTTCCTGTACATTATTGTATATTAGTGCATATGGTTGTATATTATTGAAAATTGTTGTATATTCGTAATATTCTTGCATACAATTCTCAGTTCTTGCATATTGTTGTATGTTGTTGTCTAGTATTCTATGTTACTGTATATTATTGGATATGACTGTGAAATATTGTAAATTGTTGTATATTGTTGTATATTGTTGTACATTGTTGTACATTGTTGTATATTATTGTATATTGTTGTATATTGTTGTATATTGTTGTATATTGTTGTATGGAGAACTGTTAATTGTTTTTTTATTGTATATTACTGTATCTTCTGGTCTATAACTGTATTTTTATTAGTTGTATTTTATTGTATATAATTGTATATCATTGTATATTATTGAATATTATTGTATATTATTGTATATTATTGTATGTTATTGTATATTATTGTATATTCTTGTATGTTATTGTATATGATTGTATATTATTGTAAATATGTTGTATTCCTGTATGTTCTTGTACATGACTGTACCTTCTTGTGTGTTGATGTTTATTTTGCAAAGACATTGCTCGCATCATGGGTTTGGAAGGGGTTCGTATACTTTAAAACAAGCTTGCCCGGCTTAAAGAACACCGGGGGGGTTGGGGGGGGCGGTTGGGGGGGGCGCAGCCCCCCCCCATTTGCAAACACAATGCTCGCATCATGGGTTTGGAAGGGATTCATACGCCATACGCGTTGAAGCAAGCTTGCCCGCCCCCCCCAAAAAATGTGATGTCTATATTGTATATTTATTCAATATGTTATAAATAAAGAAAGAAAGGAATAAACAAACATTTATTCATATAGAGTTGTTAATCTATAATATGTTTCATAACCTATATGTTATAATTTATTCTACGTAGAATACATAAAACACAATACATATTTAGTATATACAAAAAATATTCTTTAAAGCCATTTTTGTATATATGATATATGTATATTGTCTATATATTATCACGTATTACATGATATTAAGTTATACTACAGAAATTACTACAACCAAAGTCTGACTGCGGGACCGGGAAACGCGGGACCAAGGACCATACTACATGCCTTATTATCCTATTTCTGCGAAAACATATTACATTGATACAAATGACCACGGTACCGGGAGACCACGCCACCAGAGGATCAAAGGACCGCGGGACCCAAGGACCGCGGGACCAGAGGACCACGGAACCAGAGGACCACGGGACCAGAGGACCGCGGGACCATGAGGAGAGGACCAGAGGACCACGGGACCAGAGGACTGCGGGACCATGAGGAGAGGACCAGAGGACCACGGGACCAGAGGACCGCGGGACCAGAGGACCACGGGACCAGAGGACCAGGGGACCTGAGGACCACGGGACCACAGGACCAGGGGACCAGATGACCAGAAGGCCTGGGGCCAACGTTACCAAGGCAAACAAGCCAGGGCCAACGTTAGGAAAGAAAAAAACACCGGGCCCCCCACAGCCCCACACACCACAAACACAAACACAAACACAGACACAGACACAAACACAAAGACACAGACACAAACACAGAAACGGAAACAGAAACGGAAACACAAACAGAAACAGAAACAGAAACAGAAACACACACACGGAGAGAGGGAGGTCAGCCAGAGATTGTTGTACAATGGTACACTGACTGGAGATGACTGGAGAGACCTCAGTACAGGAGAGACCTCAGTATAGGGGAATCCCATCGGGACTCCTGGAAAACATTGCAGGTACATGGAGCTGGCCAAACTCCACATCCCCTGATGCTTCATAGCTTCGTTGGATTGGGTAGAAGCATCAGGCCCAATCCCCCTGCGGGAAAATTCGACTCATGCATAAGCTCTCAGCTCCAAAGCCCCTTAGCTTAGAATCAGGGTTTACACACACACACACACCTCCTACGAGGGGAGACACAGTGCATTCCAAGGCCACAAGAGATATGCTGCACGCACACCCTCCGAAGAGGGAAAGTCCTGGTCTTGTACCTTTGTCACCGGTGAGTCCTCCGCCATAGGCCCGTCACCACCATAGGCCCTCCTCCTCCAGCACCGACCTTAGAAATCCTTAGTGTCGTCGTCATCATCGTCGTCAGAGACCTCCAGCTGCCATGACAGGCCCAGGAGCGTCCGGGAGATCCCAGCTGCCACCGCCTTGACCCAAGGCACCTCCCATCATCGTCGTCGTCGTGGAGGACCCCCAGCTGCCACAAAGGACCCAGGAGCGTCCAGGAGGCCCCCGCTGTCCACAGCGACCCAGAGCACCTCTACTTTTAAAGAAAGAAAACGGTCTATTTGCAACTGAGGGGCAACCACCGGAAATTCGACTCGGGTCGAGACCCACGAATAGAGAGTTAGACCACCTCGTCTATGTCTCACGACTGGGCATACGACGCCCTTCAACAATTTCCGGTTCCGCCCTTATTGGCGACTTTAAGCTTCAGCCGTGGCTGGTACCTCGAGAGAGAGAGAGAATCCGCTCATAGCACTGGGTGCCTACCAAGGCTCATCTGGCACTGAAGCCTCTCTGTTTACTTGGGTGATCCCCATCCAGGAATCAGGCAATGCCCAAACGGGTAAATTGCCCTTGGGCGACGAAGCCCACACACGGAGAGAGGGAGGTCAGCCAGAGATTGTTGTACAATGGTACACTGACTGGAGATGACTGGAGAGACCTCAGTACAGGAGAGACCTCAGTATAGGGGAATCCCATCGGGACTCCTGGAAAACATTGCAGGTACATGGAGCTGGCCAAACTCCACATCCCCTGATGCTTCATAGCTTCGTTGGATTGGGTAGAAGCATCAGGCCCAATCCCCCTGCGGGAAAATTCGACTCATGCATAAGCTCTCAGCTCCAAAGCCCCTTAGCTTAGAATCAGGGTTTACACACACACACACACACACTTTTCACAGCTTCGCTGTGCCTCCTCGGCCTCCCGGAAGCCGAGACCTGCCTTCCGGCAGGCCTGTCGGAACTCGTACCTCGCTCTATTCTCCTCTCCCTTCTCCTTCTCTTGAGAAGCTTTTTCTCCTCTCTTGTCTCTCAATCTCTGCAAAGGGAAGCAGTGTCTTATAAGAATTCTCAGCTTTTTCACAGATGCAATGCTAACAAAAACGTCTGAAAGGGCGCGTGTCCAGCTGGTCGTCCTCGGACAAGCGGACAAGTTCAAGCACTGGTCGACCAACCCATTTGTACAGCCAGCAGAGTTCCCAAGAGTCCGACAACGTCGTCATCGGCAGCATAGAAATGCCTTGGGAGCCAAGCAGGGCAACACAGCGCGGCAGCACAAGTATGCCATGGGTGCGATGGCCCAGGGGGCAGACTGCACAACGTCCACCGCAGCACGCAAGCCCCGCCTACACTTCAACGACTCCCTGGCCCCTCTGAACTCCAACTTGGGAGCTGCCAGCTTGAATCAGCTTTAATCAGCTTTATAGTTTCGGAGCGGCCTGGCGATCAAAGCTCGTGCGCGCTGCATCACCTGGCAGCTGAGGCATGACGAGCCCAAACGGGAGGGCTGGGTGGCTGGGGCACATCGCCGATCTGCGTGACAAGCTCCACTTTGTGGTGCGTGACCGTGGTCGGCAGCGTGTTGGTCTGAGATGTCTGAGAGTGGAGTGAAAAATATTGCATGGCGCAAGAAAATCTTCAAACACTCTGAGTTGTCACTCAATGTGTAGTTGCTGAGGCGATGGCCTGCCAGTGGTGGAGCCCTGTGCGGACTTTGGCCGGGGCACCGGCTGCGGGCCTCGCCAAGGCCACTCGGCCCTCCACCTCAAAATGGAAGCAAAGAAAACTTCCAAGAAGCGGAGCCCACCCCTCTCTCCTTCTTCCATCTTACTTCTCTCCATCGGCCGTTCCATCTGCTACTTCGTTATCGTGCCTTTGTTCTTTGGGCACCTGGCGGAAGCATCCGGCGCTTTGTTCAAGTCCCAGACCTGACTGAGCACTTATAGCAATGCTTCGGCTAACGATCTCTTTGTAATTGATGCAGTGCAGGTTGTGAGGATGACTTTACATGATTTCCCAATGTCATGTCGCTAGACCTCACGTTTTCGTGCACTGGTCACCGCTGTTCCTTGTTTGCCGTTCAACACGCAGATTGTAGGACCCATGAAGCCCCCTTCCCCTGAGCTCGGACCCTCCTACACTTCAGCATGCAGGGAAATACTGCAACATGCCGTTCGCCCCCTTCACATTGCACCGAAGAAGGGAAAGGGTAGTGGGGGACCATGTCTTGGGTCCACCTGTGACAGCTTACGATGGCCTCAGCTCTGCATCTTGCCGCTAGATTCGCAGTGGGCCCACCAACTGGAATCTGACACAAGTTCATGCTGTAAGCAGGGTCGGGGTTTCAAAGACGATGTTCCGAGAAAGGTAAGTACTTTGGGTACGGTGCAAAAATCAATGGGAACCCCCACCACCCACCCCCATGTCGCTTGCCTCACAGCAGGCCAATTTGAGCGGGCTTTCATGCAGCATGGGTGCTATTACGGTCAGGCGAAAAAAGCAGTTGGCATGTCTCTCTCTTTCTCTCCCTCCCTCTTTCTTGTTCTCTCCTTTCCTTCGTTTTGTCATTCTCTGTTCTGTCGTACGTGTTTTCCCTCTGCCGTTCTTTGCTTCGCTCTTTCTTATTATGAAAAGGATATAAAAGGATCATTTTCTGCTTGGATCATGTACGAAACAGCAAGATGTACAACAGATGTAATTTTGCGTACGTCGTGTGCTTTTGTATGCACATGTGTTGCTGCTGTTGTAGCTGCTGTTGTTGCTGCTGTTGTTGTTGCTGTTGCTGTTGCTGTTGCTGTTGCTGTTGCTGTTGCTGTTGCTGTTTTTGCTGCTGCCGCTGACCCCTGACGCTGTTGCGGCTCCTGTTCTTGTCGTTCTTGTAGTTTTCTTGTTGCTGCTACTGTTTTGTTGTCCTGCTCTACCCTCCCGCCCCCTGCCCCCCTGCTCAGAACAAACCATACCGAAGTCCTTGTCTGCTTTGGGGCGTAGCTCGCTGTGGGCGACAGCCCGCTTCATTTCAAATATTGGCGCAGTGCAGTCTGTGGCGGTGCGTGCGCGACCGTGCAACATGAAAGCAACAGCGATCGATATGATCCAACCACCGCCTTCTCCAGCAAGCCGCAGAATTCTTCGTCTGAGGGGAAGCAGCCACTGATTGACCTGGGCCGGGCGGGATGCGTTGCGCTGTGGGGGCTTTTCTGGAGCTTGAGGTCACGTGTTGCACGGTTGGAACTACACAATGCTGTAGATAGCTGTGTAACGCGGTGATCTGAGTACAACAAAAAAAAACACCCCGACTGGCTTAGACATTGTGTCAAACTCATGGCCTCCGCGTGGTTTAGACATTGTGTCAAACTCATGGCCTTTTGAACGTTCCATCTGCTTTAAGTACCGTTTGCCTTGCCCTGCCTACTTTGCCGTGGCATGGAACTGCCCACTCCCACAGCACCAGTCGTCGTAGTTAGAGCAGCATCCCAGTCCCCCGAGGCGGCCGACGTCGAGCATGCTTTCGTAAGCTACTACGAGAGGCGTGACAGCAGACTGGCGCTGTCAACATTTTTACTTGTCGCAGCAGACACGCCATGCGAGAGGTGATGCGCAACGCCAGATCAACCTGGAGAACTAGAAGTATGCAGAAACATGCCCCCAGACACCAGGCCCGAAACCTGGACGTGAAATGAGCTGTGACGGGAATGGGGATGTGCGTGATGGCATCATACATTGTATCAAGCCGTTATAGTGCCAGGCATTTGTTGCGGAACTTGGGCCCAGGCTTATAGTAGTCCTCCGGACGGCAGAATACTAAGAACATTTAGGCTCTTCCTACACTGCTTGGAATTATTGGAATTGCTAAAGGCCCCCCTCCTCAAACTCCTCCCAGGCCACCAGATTCGTAGGGTACGAACCTCGGGGCATCTCGGGGCAGCCGATGAATGTTCCACGGCGTACATCGCAACTCCATCGCTGGGCTGCCCCACGCTGGCCCCGTCGGAAGCTGACATGGTCCTCTCCGTCGTTTCCACTTTTAAAGCTCTATGGTCACCGTTTACAGTTTAGGGGTCCCAAGAGCGCGTGCGTTTGGGACTAGTCCAGGAATCCAAAACATTCCGAGACTCCACGCTCTGCAGCTCCACATGCAGTCTCTCAGCTGAGTCAGCCATATCCTTCAGGGTGTCGGCGAATTCTTCCCGCACCTGTTGTCTAAGTTCAGGGCTTGCATGGGCTTGACACCTTGTCAAACCCTCCTGGAAAAAAACCTTTCCTCTGCGAGGCCGATGCCTGATTTATTGCAGTCACTGTGTAGCGTGGACATGGGTAGACGGTAGACTGGCGCAGACGCCGGAAAGCTGAGCACAGTTCGATACCGAACACGAGTTCAAAAGCAAGCCGCACTGTATGACGATAAGAAAGCAAGCTCAGCAAGCTCAGAGCGAGGGCAGCACACACCTTTTAGAGCCAAACCTCGTGCAACTGACTACAAGTATCAGCGACAAGCGACTACTGGTGAAGCAACAGTGGCAAATCTGCGCAGAGCTTCTGTTGTAAGACGACGCGGCGACGATGCGGGGCTTGCAGCTCATCCTTCTTCCCCCACGGCCGGAATATGCAGTTCGGGACGCCTAGAGCCGAACTCATCTCATTATTCAGATTTCACTATACAGGTTGAGATCCCGAACATTCCCGAATTCTAGCAACGAAACCATCGTAAACCTGTTGCCAGAGGTCCGAACGCATATAGAAGCCGGCACAGAAAAAAACTTAACACGACTTGGAATGCAACAAGACTGTCAGCGCATCACGATCGTCACATGCCAATGTAAGGGAGTTCGGAAATTCGGAGTTCCGCAGCTGCAGGTCACATGCCCGCTCCATCACCCTGTGCCACGCCGGGCCCTCCTCCCCCAAGCGCAGGAGCCCCACGCGGGCCTAGCCTGCGTCCTCTGTTACATTCTTGAATAGGTCCACGCATGCGCACGCTCTCCAGGCCAGCAATCCAACCAACTAATCCAGCAGCCCTGCCCGCACCTCCTCCGCCGTGCGTATGCCTGCCGACACCTGCAGGGACCGCGGGGAAATCTGGAGCGTTTAACAGCGTTTCACATTAGAGCTTTATTTCCCGAAGCCCTATAAACCCTAATTGAGAGCTTCTTTTCTAAGCGCTTCCTGCGGATGGCGCTGGGCGTTGAAGGCACGCAACATCACCGTGAGGTCCACCAGGCCCTGAAGAAGCACTTGGAGGTTTCGACTCTCACACTGGCACGAAAGCCGGCGAGGCTTGGAGGCTTCGAAGTTTTGAGAAGTTGAAATGAACTATATGGGGACCAATGCAAATGTGGAAATGGGGAAAACAGTTCTGAGCAAAAATCTCCGTGTGCCTCGGAGGCCACATCCAGGCGCCGGAAGGCCCCGCGGATGGCGGCCTTGTGGTTCAAAGAGAAAGGACAGACAAGAGGGCTGGGAGAGAGAAAAAGAGAGAGAGAGACTGGAACAGAGAAAGTGAGAGAGAGAGACAGAGTGACAAACGGTGGTGTTCCTCTGAGTCATTCCTTGGCTTCTGGCACGGCGAGGCGGGCCTGGCTCCTCTTTCAGGGCCAACAGAAACCTTCGCAAGCGAATGAGGACATGGCATGCAGAGTCTGGCTGTACATCTGGGAGTTTGGGCTGAACTAAGGGACGAAGTGAGCAAGCAGCCACGAGTGATTCACTGCCATGTAATGTTGATCACACGGTGGGAGAGGGCGGCACCTCACTACTCTGCAACATCTGGACCCTGGGTGACCGGCCAGGCCAAGAATCTAGTCGTAAACAGCATGCACCGAGTCAGGAATCAAGAATGGCCAAGTGAGAAAGCGGGATGGGACGAATCAGAAATGCTCCAGGAAACAGGAAAGCTGGTGATATGTATAGGCCAGGATTCACGGATTTACTTGGTTTAATTTTTTTTGCCACCTGCATTGCATACCGGGACCAATCGAGGCTCATGGTTGGGGGGTCAGAATTTCCTAGAACTGAAGGTTTGAGGTTGATGTCTTCGATGTGCAAGCCATGATTTTCGGGTTCCAAAGAAGGGGCACCTGAAAGACTTGCCAGCATCGGACGGACGTTTGGGTTCCAAAAAGGCACTTGCAAGATTCGCATAGATTTGCGAACATCGAAAAGGCATGAATTTTCAGGCTCAAGAATCACACTACTGCATCCACAGGTCTGTAGCAAACATCATCGACTAGAGCATCTCAGCCTAGATCCTGCCGCTGAGCTTTAGTGACTCTGTTGATGCATTCCCCCAGCCGGTGCCAACTTAACGGGGCGGAGTGAACTCCACAGATTTCTGCAGGTGCACAAGCTTTTGTCATCTCAACGCTGCGTGGCCTGGGAGGATGTAAAAGAAGTTACTACAAAGTGGCATAGTAGAATCCTGAGTATGTAACTTAACATTGCCTTAAACTCTAATTACAACCACTAAATTCCTTTTACTTCGAGCATCCCCACACTGCAGACTCTGGGGGCACTCCACACACGGGGCACTCCGGGACACTCTGCTCTAGGGACTGGGGATATTCTGGGGGTGGGCACTCCGGGAACATTTTGGGGAAATTCTGGGGTGGGATACGGGTGACGGACGAGGAGTAGACACGATTTTTCAGGGCTGTCCGTTTTCTGCAAGGAGGCCATGTCTGTTGCCAGCATTTCGATGTTGCATGTCGCTGTGGCCCCGACTCGTCGTAGGGCAGAAGGTGGACGTGAGGCTGGCGTAAGAGGTCGAACAGAGGCTCGGCATCCACCTCTTTGTCAAGTCTTTGAATCATAAGCCGACCGCTTCCTTCGAAGATCCCAATTGCATGTGCAGCCATGTGCAGCCATGTGCAGCCATGTGCAGCCTGCAGGTCGCCAAAGGCATCAGACAGGACCTATCGTAGGCATCGCAGCACGCACGGGAAATCCAAATGCGCGGCTTCTGTGTGAGCTGATGGTGCCTTCTGAAAGACGTCAAAGGTGATGACCCGTGCATTCTGTGGATCGGCATCTCGCATGGCCTTAGGAAGGCCCCATGTGTTGAGCTCTGCAGCTGAGACCTCCGAAGCCCTGAAGAAGCGCGCGATTCTCTCGCGCGGCATCTCGCACTGAGCTCCCAGCTGCTGCCAAAGAGGTGATGCCCCTTGGGCCCTGCTCGTAGAGGTAATCCCGGAGCCTCTCTAGCACCTCCTCACAGGCAGCGACAAACGAACAAAAACACAAAGAGCAGCAATGACGCGCATGCATCGCAGCAACGCTAAGCTTGCAGCCCTCGCCCCCTCTTAGAATTTCCCTGCCTCTGGTGCCTCGCTGTCGCCTTGGCCTTGGCCCTTCTCTTCACCCAACGCGAATCCTACCTCGCGAGAAAACCCAACGCAGCAGTCACAGCACTCACAGCAAACACAACCGTATACAACCGCCTGGTCATTGGCATCTGCCTCAGCCACTGCCCTCTGCGACTCTCTCTCTCTCTCTCTCTCTCTCGTCTTTCTCACGCTCTCTCTTTTGCCCATCTCTCCATTCTTTCTTTTCGTCCCTGTGCATCCCCTGGCCTCTCGCCGCACGCCACTGGTGAACTCACACAATTGAACAGGTGGACTTTCGGCAAAGAAATCGCGGAAAGAGATTTCTCAAATCAAGGCAAAGGATGATGAAAAGCGCGGCATGGCAAATGTCGGAAAAGGCCTCGTGGGCAAACGCCCGGATCGGCAGCAGCCCCTCAGAGAGGCCCAGTGGATCCCAGTGGCCAACGAGGGCTCAGGAGGCTCCGAAAAGTGCAGGCTGCCAAAAGGCACAGGCAAGGCTCTCAGGGCCTCCTCGGCGTAACGGTCGAAAATGGCACGGACATCCTGCGAAGGAGATGTGCTCATCGCATCTTCCCTTAACCGACTTGAAGCCTTCGCGAAGCCTTCCCCCCCCCTTACCCTCCCCTTACCCTCCCCGCGCCCAAACTCCCAACCTTGTCGCTGACGCCAGCTGTGTATGGAAGCATCGCCCTGGTGAAGTTGTCCAGATCTAGGAAGCCAGCCCCGGAGAGGTCGTGGTGCCGAAGCGCTCTTGCCAAGAACGTCTCCTGGGATTCAATATCGGGCTTTCCTCGGGCTTCCGGTGATGATTGGGAGCAGTGGGAGCATTGGCAGCACCTCGGTCGTCCGGCTGTGGACACGCTGCTGGATCTTCCCTAGCACGGCCTACAAACTGCAGGTGGGATGCTCAGCATCTCAGCACTCCTAACCATTGCCACTCTACCCCTCGGCACACTTGACCAATTGCAGCCTCCTCAATGCGGTTCATGTCCTGGCAAAAACTGCAAGGGAACTGCAAGGGAACTGCAAGGTCAGGACATGGGAGCAAACGCGTCCTTGGCCATCTGGGCGGGGCGCGGGCCCTGCGCCCCCGATGGGTCTGCCCGGAGCTTGTGCCACTCTGCGGCCGGGCGGACTGCTGAAGCCCCCCAGCTAGGGCCAAGCCATGCGTGCAATTCAAAGCGTTGCATCTGCATCGACAATGGCACTGCCGCACTGCCTTTTTCCCGCAAGCAATACACTCCACTCAGCCCTGCCCTTGGGGGTGGAGCGTGAGTTAGAGAGTCGGAGGGTGCATGCCCTCAAAATGGCGCTCATCGCATTGTGAGGCACCACTCGCCAGGATTCTGCGTGGAAAGCAAGGCCAAGAAAGCAAACACAACGAGAGAGACAAAGGCAGAGCGAGAGCGAGACATGTTTTGATTTCGCGTTCGTTCACGGACTTTTCTTGGATATTCTTGGGAGCTGAACACATGGTTCATCTCGGGTGGACAAATCCTGGATCCGGCTTTCAAGGTGATGCTTTCTGCTCCTTGTTTAGTGCCTTCTGTGGAGGCTTATGTCTGCACCTACCCGGAGCCTACCCCACAAAGAACCGCACTGCCGATAGACTGACAGAACATACCAAAACAACCAGAGCACACTGAGCATACTACACCCCCCAGTTGCGCGCATGCCTGGGCTCCAAAAAAAGAACCAAGCACAAAACAACACAACAGTGTGCAAAACCCCAAATGAGGGCTTGTACTCGTACCTTTGCTGCGCTCTGAATTGCCACCGCATGCCACCGCGCAACTGCTTGGTGGGCAGTGGTATGACCCCCAACAAGCAAGCACGTTCGTCTTGAAGGAAGCGTTGGCTGAAAATGGCTTGAAAAACACCAAAACGTGAACGGGCAGCAAGTCTCAGCGTTTAGGCGTGCCAATGCGACCATTGAGGCTACGTGCGTCTTATTGCAGCCGGCGACGTGCTGCATCATCGCGTATATTCGCATATATGATATATGGGCTCGCAAGCAACATCCGAGATGGATGATTTGGTGGTGCCCAAGATTCGGCTGCCAGAGAGGGGCCCAACGGACCTCTGGATCCTGTGTGGATATATATATATATATATGGTAGCATATATATATAGTATATACATAATTATATCCCTCAGAAAAGATGCTCTCGGGATATCTCGGTACTTGCCAAGGAGCCTTTCACAGAGTTACATACATCCCCTAACAACAAAAACTTCTCTCGTGGCAGGTATCCGAGGGAAAGGGACCAAAACAGTTGCCGAGAAACAAGATGACGGAGCAAAGAGAGAGAGAGAGAGAGAGAGAGAGAGAGAGAGAGAGAGAGAGAGAGCGAGAGAGAGAGAGAGAGAGTGAGAAAGAGAGAACGAGAGAAATTGTGCTCTTTCTGCCACGAACCTTCGCGACTCGAAGCCACGTCTCTCGGAAATTGTGCCTCGACCCTCCAACCACGCCAAACGCACCCCAAAAATGGTAAAAAAGAAGCGCTCGCAATTCCAAAGGCCCTCAAACCTGGGAAGTCAGGACCCGCTAGTGCTTTGGCTTCTTAGAGTCGAAATTCGGGCCGGGGAGGAGCGGTCGACGCGCAGCGTTTGCAATTACATGAACCTGAGCAAGTCTCATAAGCGGAAGAAGAGCCCAAGCCAGCACAACCAGCACGAGGGAAAGAGCGATAGCAGGCCAGAGGCAGACGCAGAAAGATCGGACAGAGAGAGAGAGAGAGAGAGAGATATATATATATATATATATAGCGAGAGAGAGACTGAGATATGTATATATATATATGTATAGATTCTAGATAGGCAGCGCGGAGAAGGAGAGAAAGAATGAACACATGATCAGATCCGGTCGTATCTTCTCTTTGGTTTGTGCTCCCCCAGCCTCCATGTACTGCTTGAAGGAATTGGAGAAGCGTGCCAGCGAGGCACCATCCAGGTGCCGGTGATCCCCAACCTTAGCAGGACCCCAGCCTCAGAAGCTCCCTGTGCAGTGCCGCACGACTCCGCAATGCTACAGCGTTGCTCTGCCACAGTGTTGCCAACAGCTCTCTCACAGCCCTTGAAAAAGCCATTGAAGTCATTCTTCTCTCGGTGTCGGGCCCAGCGAATGTTCATGACTTGCCGGGGCACCAACTGAAAGGAAACACATCTCAAGGGGATCGCTGCCCATGGCAAAGGAACACCCCAGCACAGTTTCCCTTGGCTCACCGACACCCTGTGGCAGTGGCCCTGCCCCTCTGCAGCCCTCACCCCCAGCATCCCCCAACATCAGGGTCATCATATTCATCATCAAGAAGGTGGAAGGTCTAAGCCTGAGCATCCCGGGCCTCCATCTTGGCATTGTAGCGGGGCAACACCATGGTCCTCCCGGTTGCCCCGATCACAGCCTGCCCGTCGAAGAGGATGGGCCGAGGGTCCTCGACATGATGTAAACAATATGTAAACAGTGTAAAGAGTGTGGGCAGAGCGACAGCAAGCACTAGTGCACCCACCGGTCCTTGGTGCCGATGACACCAATGTTTGACAGTGTGATGGTCCCACCCTGGTCACAGGAGAGGAAAGGGAGGATCGACGAGGGCAGCCAGGGGGGCCGACGACGACGGGCGCGGGAGAAGGTTGGGAGAATGGGGGGCTGTGCCTGGATGTCCGAGAGCGCCAACTTGCCCGCTTGAGCTGCGGCCGCAATCCGCATCAGCTCGTTCTGGATTTCCAGGACGTTCTTGCCCCCGACGTCCTGTATGTCATGGAAGCTCACGACAGGGCCCGTCAGCCTTTCTGCGCAGCCTTGATGTTTGGCACCATCAGGCCGTGAGGCGTGTCCACGGCGACCTGGGCTCACAGGCCAACTGCCAACTTGCTGCAACGGCTCCCGACTGGGCCACACACTGAGATGTTGTGCTGGGCAAAGACGGTGTAGCTCGGAGGGTTTGCGTCCGACGGCCTCTGTAGTTTTTGGGGGGGTGTGGGGGGGTGTGGGGGGGGTGCGAGCATGGCGGAGTTCGGGCTGTGTCTGGTCTTGATTCTTGAACTGGATTTTTTGGCGGGCACTGTAAGGCTACTCTGCGGGGTTCCAGGGGTGACGAGACCAGGAATGTAACGGGATGCGTAATGAAATTCTTTGCACGACCTGTGGGGGGACGGGCGCACCGAGCGTACTCAGCAGGAGCTGCGGATGTGGGCTGCGGTCCACTCTGCAACATGCTCTTAGCGGCTTAGCGTAGGAAGCCCGAGCGAGGAAGAATTACAGGAGTCCCAGGAGAAGCAGGAGAGGAGAATAACAATTGCGGGGAACAACTGCAACAGCGTGCCAAAGCCCCATGGGTCTAGAACAGAAAATGCCCGCCAGGACCCGGAGACATCGGAATTGCTTGTGTCCTTCGATGGAAATGTGTGTCCGCATCTGGAGAATGGTCAGGATAGTGTCAGGATTTGATTTTGGAGCGCATATGTTGTTCTTAACGCGTGTTCTGCATTATTCCATGTGTTGGAAGAAACACGGGCCATCAAATTTGGTTTGTATGAGACGGTGCTCCCCGGGGCGGAGAGGTTACCAAAAGCATCCACAATGTTTTCAAGTGGACGCGTGTCAGCAGGTCCCTGATGTTCCTTGCGCGCTCGTGAAGTTCTCATGTGGTTTCATGTGGTTTCCAGTCCGTGCTCGTGCATCCATTCTCAAAGGCGCGCCCGAACTTCGAGTTGATCTTCGGGTTGTCGTTCAGGGCCAAGGAGATGGCCTGCAAAAGCCCAAACAAACCAGGCGTGGGGGACCCCGAAGCGCACACGGCTGCACCCGCCTTGAGCATAAAAGACGTGACCGTGACCTCAGATTATGAGATCTTGGACATGCAAGAGGATTTTGCGCTGGTTTCGTGAGCCGCCTTCGTGCCATGCTTCTTCAGCGCATAATCCTGCTCAAGAAGCTCTAAGCCTTCTGAAGCATGCTAGTTCATGCAAGCTCAAATCCAACCCCACGGCTCAGCATCCAAAATGGCCTTCAGCTGCTTCTGCAAAGCCAGCATCTCTGTCATGTCGATCTCCTAAATAAGGCACAGAACTGACCCAGAGGTCCGACTTCTAATTCCCCGTCGCCTGGCCTCCCCTAGCGCCATGTAAGGCACCAAAAGAGAAGCCTGCATAGATTTTACCTTGCGGCAAAGCGACAATACGGCAACGGCAGCAGAGAGCACAAGAAGAACAAGCAAAGAAGAACCCGGCCATCCCTTTGCCCACGTTGTCCGTGATTTGGATCGTCTGGTCCTGACGCGCACCAGTGGAACACCCGTGGAGACTACACTGCTTCCGATGTTCCCCTTCGCTCCTCGGTGGGCCTTGACATGGCTGGAGGGGCTGCAGCACTTGCGGGCTTGCCGCTTGCAACCGCCCGCAGGTCCTCCAGGAACCAACAGCCGTTTGAAGATTCGTGCTATACGGGTAGATTCCTTGCACTCTCCCTTCTTGCAAACTCTCTGTTCCATCTACGAAAATAACTTGCCGAGCCATTTTCAGCGACGCAACCAAAAGACGTGAACAATCGCTTCTGATTTCTTAATCCGGAGAGTGGCCTCTCTGATGTCTTGTGGTCTGGGAAGGAGAGGAGGAGGGGGCAATACGAGTTGATGCATCCCCCCTCCCACACACCTGATCATCCTCCCAAAACAGCTGGAATGATGATCGGAAGCGTGGGGCTGCGTTTGGTTTGATAGGGTTTGGGTTGTCATGGTGAAACCAAACGGCGGTCGCTGCAGTTTCGGTTGGCTATGGAAGGTTAGGGGTAATGATCAGGGTGGGTAGGAGAGGCCGGGTTCATTTTTGCTCGCTCGTTGTGGGATGTTATCGGTGAAGCCAAGCAGCTTTGGCCACATATTCAGGGACGGCGTTCGGAGGAATGATCGGGTGTGTTACAGGGAATGATGAGGAAGATGGGGAAGATCATCGCTCACGGAACATCTGCCAAATGGGGGCTGATTAATATTCTTGTTCCATTTAATACCCCTTGAGCCCGCCCTTGCGCACTCTTGACTTTTTGCGCGCACACCGTGCCGCACACCAGTTTTTGCATACCTTGTAAACCCCAAAGCCCTGAACCCTAAACCCTATACATCATAAACCCTACCTTAACCCTAAACACTAGAGTACGCAGGGGTGACCAGACTGGCAGCCTTTGCGCAAAATCTCAGCCAGGATTTGAGGAAGGGCCCAAACATTATGAAGCTCACTCACGCCCGCAACTTGGCCCATGCCTTCCATGTAGCGACACATGGCTGGAGCAGCCCTTGCGCGTTTCTTGCGCAGGTTTGCCACGTTGTTCTCATTTAGATCGCGTTACATTACATAGATCGATACGGTACTATTGCCCTTGCACGCTCTTGCACCCGCCCTTGCGCGTTCTTGCGCACGCAACACGTTCCGAAGGCTTTTTCAAGAGTGGCGTTTTGAATAAATCGCCTCTGTAGTACGAAGTCAAGAGCAGGGGTTTAGATCAACCTTCAAATGAAACCAGCCTGCCAGACCATGGGCAAGCACTGCAACATAGACATCAGTGTCCTCTTCGAGCACCCGCCCGTTGGCACCTGACGCCACAGGACTTCAAAGCCATGCTTCAGTTTCATTGTGACGCACTGAGACTTTTGTAGGCTCGCCTGTGCCCTTCACGGAAGCGAGGTCCACGCCCAACTGCTTGGCCAAGCCCCTCACCTTCCACATACAAGTTTCGCCCCCTTACATCTTCATGATTCGGTGCCATCCCTGAGCATCTGCGCATTGAAGAATTGAGGTCATGCAAGTGCTGCAACATGAGGAGGGCTTCCCCTATAGCAAAAGCACAACTGTCATTGCAGAACGCACTTAAAAGCGAAGAGTTTATTGGCAATCACCAGCAGCACCAGCAGTCCAAAAGCAGCAGGGCTGCGCCTGCCCTTGGGGGCAGACTGTATGCAAGCATTTGCGCAAGCAGTTGCACACAGTTGCAACAGCATCCTATTGAGCTTTCACCTCCGAGCAAAGAGCAAACGATGCTGCTCTTCCATCGCCGAGCGTCGGTAACTTCGACCCGGGAAAGAGCTCCGGGACCCTCTACTACTCAACTCACTTACTCAACTCTGCTGTCTACACTGTCTACACTGTCTACACCTGTATGATCACCTCCGCCAACTGGTCAAGGCAGGATCCGGCAAGGCGAGCACCGTTGTAGGTGCGAGGGTTCAAGGAATACATTAAGTCACTCAGTCACTCATGCCTCACATTGCCCAAAGATTCTGATTGTCGAAGGGGCAGGCGGTTTGTGACAGCATCGACCCGGTGAGAGGATCATGTAGCGCGAAGCCCCCGGGGTGGCAATTCTGGCCTGGACTGGAGAGAAAAATCGGGCACGTAGCTGGTGGCATCCCAAGGCAAGGAGGATCCACGGGGGCTGGTCACAAAGCGCAGGGAGTCGAAAGCAACACCACGAGTGGAGCTGGTGATGTGGACCATCAAAATCATCATCAAGCCCCAGCGGAGCAACTTGTCAAGTGCCGAGCGGCCCTACTGCAGATTCACCTGCGCAAAATGTTGGCCCAAGGGTGGGCTTCCGGCCCTAAATAAGAGAATGAAGTGAGTTTACGAACAAATGAACGTAATGAACGTACGAACGGAACGGGCGCTCTTTGTGTTCTCTTTTTATGCGCCCCTTAAACACTATTATCTTCTTTCAACTAATCTCAACAGATACAAGTGAATGAAATGAACGCGTAGCGAAAGAAGATAATAGGGGAAAAAGGGGCACAGGCTAGTAATTTAGTATATTTTCATGCGTCTTCCTTATAAAATATACTAATATTACGCCCGTGAGAAAGAACACTATAGTTATACGGGCTAGTTCATAGTATTCCTTGTCTTTTATTACTGGCCCGTGTTCGCAAGCTCACCAAGTACTATTAATGATATAAGCGAAGAGAACGCAGTGAGCGCATTAATTTTAATATTGTAAGTTCACGCACGGATATTATAATTAAGGTGTGAACAGCGTGAAGGAAGAGCTATTTGGTGATCCAAGCTTTGGCTGCGACTGGGCCATCGGAGACGAGTGCGGTTGGGGGGGACCTCGGCGACCTTTCTCGAGACTTCATGATCCTGAAGCTTACCTGAAACCTTCAACAAGCGATCGCCTCACCCCAAAGCTCGAAAGCCTCTGCTATGTCATCAGTTGCATCCCATCTTCTCAAGTGTCCCTCCCAGCCTTCGGCGTTGCCAGAACTCCCGGAGCAGGGGCACCAGCCTTCACTCACACATCGCTACCCTCCCCACTGTCTCCCAGGCCCTCTTTTGCAGCTCCCTGCCCAGACCTTGGAAGCTGCCGGCGCAGGTGTTGAAGGCGCTGACGGCGCTGAAGGCGCCGGAGTCGGAGTTGCAGGGCTGGGGCTGGGGGCTGGGCTTGGGCTTGGAGCTGCAGGAGCGGCGGCAGGAGCTGCACCCGCCTTGAACTGAAGAACTGTGGTCCCCAATCTCGTCATTCTCAAGTGTTGAACGTGCATGCTCTACCATGCTCTACCATGCCCTCTTGCCAAGCCACAACTTCGATGTCGACCAATGTGCTGCCCACTTTGACTGTGTCTTGCACCTTGTAAGGCGTTGTCAAAGGACACGAAGGACACGACTTCGGCCCGTCGTTGCAAGGTGCCTTGTGGTAAATCTTGACCACTTTGCCCGTGAAAGGGCTCGAGAGCTCCACAGAAGCCTGTCAGCTAATGGGGGAGATGTCGACAAGAGCGCTGCACTGTTGAAGTCGTTTGTTTGATTCGTTTGCCCCTTGTATTCCATGCGACTCCCCTGACGTCTGAGAGGGCCTTGTCGCTCTCGACGGAGCAAAGGTTGTCCATCTCCTGAAGATAAAACGGACTGCGGGGCAGTTAAGAAAACGGAGAAACGAGCGCAGTCGAGCGCTGTCCTTGACGGCATCACCTCCACATGCGTCATATGCGCACAGTTCAGTGAAGGAAGAACGAACACAAACGCAAAAAGACCCGCCTTCCTTGACAAACCATTCGGTCAGCTGCACTTCTGCGATCCCTTCCCCAATGTCCGCCAGCTTGAACGGCTGCACCTGCAAACATCGCAGACCACAACTAAAGGCACCATCTTGGATTCTAGCTTCATATATGCTTTCGCTGTGCCCTCTCCACATTTCATTCAAGAACATGCATGACAGAGGGCCTGCGCACCGGCTGGAGCGGCCGGTGTGGCGGGGGCGGCCGGGGCTGCTGGGGCGGCTGCTGGGGCGGCTGCTGCTGGGGCATCCGCAGGGCCGCCCGTGTCAACGTCGATAAGGACCGAACCCACCTTCACGGTGTCTTGGACCTGCTGGAGCATATGCCCCAAAGAGCCCTCTTGTGGCATTGCCCGGTGCGAGGAGACCCTTCCCCTGCTTATTTGCTAGCGCATTTCGCATCGCGGATGCCTGCGACGAAAAAGGGGTAAACAAAAACAAATGACAATGACGTAGAAAGCCCCAGAACGTGCAACTGATCTGTGCGGCAGGGTGGACGAGTCTGGTAAACTGCTTGTGGCACCTTGTGGTGGAGCTTCAGCACTTTGCCCGTGTAGGGGCTCGTGAGCTCTACCGACGCCTGGCCACATGAAGTGTCTTTGAATAGCATCCAACGGCTGGAGGTTCTTTCTTGCAGAACATGCCAATTTATCCACAGCCTCAATGGAACTAAGTAACTAATTCATGTCATATCTGCCACATTCTGCCACCCGTTGATATGATTTGATATGACCAGCCTTGTCGGACTCCACGCTGCAAACGTTGTCCATCTCCTTCACCTGGTCACCCTCCTTTACGAACCACTCCGTAAGCTGCACCTCCGCAATGCCCTCCCCGATGTCTGCCTAAGAGGGCAGAGGGCTCAGCAGCCTCCGAGCTGGAACATGATGAACTATTCAGTAACCATAGGCAATTATAGGTAGCTGAGCGATCTGCCAGCTTGAACTGCTGCACAGCGAGTAGAGGTGCCGCGGATGTCCTCAGACACATGCGGAACCACCAAGGTCCACTCTGCAACTGCTTTGCTATGTATCCTCAGCTGCCGCGTCTGCTGCAGCTCCATTGCTGGATGGTAAGCTCTGAAAACCTGAGAGCAAGGGATTTGAGAAAGAGGAGATTGTCAAGGCTGATCTTGCCCTCAAAAGCCTGCCTTTGGAAAACCGATGGTTCGAGGCCGAGTGAGGGCCTCAAAATGTCACTTAAGTGGCTTTTCCAAAGAAAGACAACCGTAAAATCATGGTCAAATAGTTGGTGACAGAATTCGAATTCAATTTCGGCCAAGTCGGGCGCATGCCGAAGGCCCACCTGTAACATCCGTGACGTGAGGACGGGGTGCTGAACCTGACCTCTCTCTCCACATCTCTCCCAGCGCACCGCCAGCGACCGCGCCACCATGGACTGCGCTGCCATCCTCCCAGCCGTTTCCAGCCCACAGGCACGAGCATTGAGGTGTACACGTCCGGCTGCAAGACACTGTACTTTCATTACTCGGTTCTAACAGAGTTTGGCAAAGTGCAGAAACAGGTCCAGGAGTTCCGGAGCGTCCTAATTTCAGGCCTTCACTGCTGCGGAGCCGGTAGGAAGAGAGGAGGGAGAGAGGGCGCCGTCGAGCCAGAAGCGGAAGCGGCTGGCAAAGAGCTTAGAGCGCCGAAGTCTGATTCTCCTTGTCGCATGCCGTCCTCAACCTTTCGACATGCAGAGCAGAAACCGAACAGCGAGCCCGCTCCCTGAGTCCCTCTGTGTCTGGCAGCTTCTCCCCTGAACTTTCGAAAGCCCTCCCCTCCCCGGATTCCCCAAGTACAAGGTCTGCTGTTGGCAGGCGACCGAGGCAGATAAAAAGAAACTGCCAGCGTTCGACTTCGGGGTGCATGTTCGGGTTTAAAGGCCTTGCCCGGCATCTTTGGGAAGAGTAGTTGCCGGATCATTCTTCGCACAAAACTGTCGGATTCTTTTTGAGAAGTTCGCAGTCAAGCTTGTCTTGCACTCACGACGGATGTGAACAGATTCTCTGTTGAAGTTTTGTTTTCCCCACAAGAAACATTTCCAGACTTCAAGGTTTGTGCCAGCCAGCAAAACCAGCTGGCCATGGGCTGGGGCGAAGGGGCACTCGAAATGTGCATCTGTTGCAGAAAGACACACACACACACATCACATCACATCCTGAGTGGGGGTAGGGGGCCGACACGAGACACTCAAGTGACCCAGTTCGCAGGGCAGCTTCCGACTCGACGCTGCAACTTGCAGGCTTCACAACAGCAGATTTCCGGTGCGGCCCCAACTCCGAGACAAGTCCTCTGCTGTTTTGAACAAAGTTTGCGAGACGTCTGTCTTGCGGGAATGTATGAAACCGCAAGATTGGAGTTGTTGGGGGTCTCCTTCGAATGTAAAGGTTATGGCACTGGTAACGTTGACGTAATCACCCGTCACGATCACGAATCTGGCTACCGATCCCTGCGACTTTGTCCAGGCCTTTTACCGTGACGATGCCCTTCGAGCTATTGTCGCTGTACAGGCGCATGGAAAAAACCCTCGTTTTCGTCGAGTGAAACCCGAAATATACAGATATAAAGGTACAAGTACACTGGCCACCCTCCCTAAGCAACAGCGAAAAGAAACCCAAGACACAAGAAAACCCGACAGCAAAAGACGGAGGGCGGCCAGGCCCTGACATTGAGGAAACACACTCGTGGCTTCGCACGCCGGCTTGAATCAAAGTACAAAGTTCCACGAAAGTTTAGACGTCACACTGACAAGATTTGATACGCACAGTAATAAAACACGAAAGCCGATGCAACGTGTAACACTGCTGAAAAGAAGGCCGAATTTCAAGCACCTTTTAAAAGTGGTGGCTGACGAAAGCTTGAAACAACTCATCGCGCAAGAACGCCTCTGCTTCTGTCGACGCTCTCACTCGTCGACCACATGGACCACATGTGCCGGAATGGCGTTGTGCTCCATGCGTCGCTCATCGGACAAAACATGGTGAAAAGCTTTGGACAACTTCAAAAGCTGCCAGTCGCGGGAACCGCAGCGTCTGTTTCGGTTACATGTACACGGAGACGTCGTCGGATTGCGAAGTATCTCAGCAAGGCTTCGGTGGGTTCAGGGCCCTGGACGAGTGGAGGGTGTAGGGGTGGGAAGTGCCCTTTAAAGCCACGGACTAAACCCTAAATAAACCCTTTGTGCTAAACTGCTAAACCTGAAGACCCCGGACTTGATGACAGCACTACCAAAAACTCCCCCTAATCCTAAACCCTCAACTCTCAACCTGGAGGGCAGCCTGGGCAGACTGGGTCTCCAAGGTCTGCCACAGGGATCTCCCGAAGGGCCTCAGACATGCGACACTTCTAGGGTTGTTTTTGCTCCCCGCCTAGCTGACCTCGGACACTCAGAAGAAATTTCCGGCATTCTGAAGTGGGAAAAGGAGAAACCCGTGCTTTAAAAAACAGCAGAAACTTGTCGGGGCACCAGCTCGAAAGTTGGAGGGTTTAGGGCCAGAATAAGGCTCTAATGGAGGAATGCTGAGGCGCGACAACTTTCATATATGTATATATAGGGACGACTACCAACATAGGGCTCAATTCACTACTACTAAGCCAGCACCTTACGAATTGATGTATCAAGGAGCCAAAAATCGTGCTTGGAGCTTTCTTGACGGGCCCTATATGAAGGATTCGAGTGCTTTTGTCACCCTTTACCCGAAGGCCCTGCCTCATCGCCTGCACCTTCGGCCTCGTCGCCTGTCTTGAGGTCCTCCTTGCTCAGGCCAAGTTCCTTACTCCGTAGTCTTGCCGCCTTCTGGACAAGCTGCACAGCATGCTCTTTCGGCATCTGGCTCAAGCGCACCATTGCACGCTCGAAATCTTGCGGCGCGCATGTCTTTGGCCCAGGTTCATCTGCAAGCGCGGACATTTGGATTGACCATTCTTGCGCAATGCGCGTTTTGACAATTTGGTTTGGCAGCCGCTGGTTTGCCGTGGCAAGGCGGCATAGGATACCAAGGCATTCAAACGGCAGCCCAGTCTGCTTCAACTCAGTCAGGCAGAATGCCGTGAATTCACCACTCGCCTGAGGTTCGTGAGGGAACAACAGTTGCGCCTAAGCCCTGAGCTGGAAACCTCAACTGAAGGGACTTGCGCTATAGAAAGACACACAGCAGATACGTGAGTTTTAGGAACTTGCCTTCAGGAGCACAGCATGCTGATGATGGTCGCTCATTCGAAGCACTTCTGCCCGAAAGCGCCGTAGGAACATCCACGTCCGCCAACCTCAGTTCAATATAGCCAGTGACAACTCTCCCCGTACCCTTATTACAGGAACCCCCCAGAAACGGCATAAGGAAACCCACAGATTAACTAGTCAAAAACCAAGAAACATCCATTATGGGGAGGCGGAGATGGCAACACTGTAGTCATCATGTCATGGTCAAATGACCATGTCAGCCGAAGGTTCTCCTCCTCGGCTTGCTTGAACAGCGGCACAGCAACGTTCAGCACAGAGTCCTTGACGGAACCTCAGGGCACAACATAAGCCGTGCAATGGTGCAATAAGAGTCTGAAATCATGTCAAGACTTCTCAAGATTTTCGTGCCCGTTCGCTTGGCCACTTGGCGCGCCTAAGAACTTCATCAAGGCATTCCCGTGACGCACTCCAGAGGCATAAGACACATCTCTGAAGATCTGCGAAGCCACGTGGACAACCAAATAGGCACCAGCCGCCATCACTAGAACCAGGACTGCGAATGCAAGCCCCACGGTTGCTGCCTGACTGGGCAACAGAACCATCAGTGCCACCACGGCGCTAAATAGAAGAAAGCGCGAAGTCTGCAAAGCCACTTCGAGCACGTCAAGCACACCAGCCTGCTCATTGGTAAAGGGTGCTATCCAAGCAGCAAGGCCGAGCTGCAATCCAGAGAGCACCGGATAGCACAGCAGTTTGCCTTCGGGGCTTGGCACTATGGAGGTGTACGTGATGAGCATCATGACGCTCAAATCGAGTCTTTTGACGATGATGTCCCACCACCAGTACTTGGCCTCATAGCCCAGAATGAAAAACCCATACTTTCGAAAATTGCCGGGTGAGTGCCTATCAGCAAGAAGAAGCAATCGCAGCGCTAGCGTGCCAGGAATGCCGACACACCACACAAGGAGGCCCACGCAGGCCGTTACCGCAGATGGAAAGTGAGGATCTGCCCAACACTGAATCTCTGGGCTGGGCAGGAGGCGGTAAATGAAGGTCAAACCTTCATCCTCGCCATCTTCTGGGATGGGAACGCACCACAACATGCGAAGAAAACCAGAAAGCAAGACCGGCCACAAGTAGACCAGGCCAATCCAAATCACCGGTACGCTTTGGTGCAACAGGTCGGAGCAGCGTGGTCTGGAGCCGAAGAGGCCAAAGTCAAGAGAGTCCATCGCGGCATCGAGGTCCAGGTCGTAGCTGGTGTTGCTTGGCTTCCTCTTCTTGGCGTACGATGGCATACGCATATGCATACGAAACTTAACCTGAAAAGTAATTCCCCCTTCTGACATCCGCTATACATCTTATAACACCCAGCCTTGAGCAGGAATTCGAGGTTGAAGGGCTGGCCTCCTCCACATTTCTGATTCTCCTCTTCCTTCCATGCGGCACATGAACCTCAACCTGAAAAGTGAGTGCTTCTTACTTACAGCTCTTCTGAGTCTTATGATGTCTTATGACACCCAGCCTTGAGAAGGAGAACGAGGTTGAAGGGCTGGCCTCTTCCACATTTCTCCTGTTGCTTCCAGGTTCGTTCTGTCTTCCGTGACTTTGCGCAGTTGGTGCTGCCTTCAACTTCTTGTAGATATCGTCCAGAAAGGCCTCTAGGTCCTGAAAACCGTCCGACTCCTTCACAAGATTAGTGAAGTGGGCCTCTTGAGAAAGCAATGCAAGCTCAACAGCGCAGCTGTCTTGATTAGTAGCAGCTGCCCTGGCATCCAACGCTTTGGCCAGGAACTCTGGGCTGGAAGCGACCGCGGCTCGAAGGAAAGCATTGGGCTCATTTGCTGCTTTGTGCAACTGCGCAAGAGTAATGTCAAGTGCTCCCGACTCCACAAGGTCCTGCCATCTCAAGCCCGCCTTTGGGAGATCATCCTCCACTGCAGAGCACAGACGTCTTGTTGCGGCCTCTCGTTGCTTCTGCCTTCTGGCAACTTGGTTGAATGCAAGCCCATAGCGCTGGGCGAAGGGCACCAGAACGTAAACCACGGCGGAGCTCAGAAGCACTATGTCAAGGATGACGAGCACTGGCCTCGGAATCTACGAGTACATCTGTACCCTTAAGAGGCTTACATGCCCAGATACTATAACATACCACGATAGACGACAGTATACGACTTCCACGACGACGACGATACCGACATTCGTTCTGTGCTGAATGAATCTTGGCCGTCCTTTTCTATCGTTTATCAACTTCTTCAACCTCAATCTTGCTATCATTTCTACGTTCTGTAATTATCCTCGTTATACCTTTAGACGTCCATCTAACCCCAAACCCACGTTTTAGAAATGTCCTCAGCCCGCCCGAGGGCGCACATCACGAGCATCAGCGGCCCCGTGCCCGGGGCCCACATCCCGCAGCATTTGGGAAAGAACATTCCAGACAGTACCGAAAACAAACATAGCGGCATAGCCCGACCGCATCACAAGCATCACCAGCTCCAACCCGGGCCGAGAACCTGAGGTCCAGGCCCTCTCCGCCTCTGGCCGCAGCCCCTGTTCAATCAAATCAAAACCTATATATCTAAGCCATCCATGCTATACTGCCCCTACGTCCTTAAGTACTAGTTGCTAATTTTGTCAATCCATCCAAGTGGCAAGCACAAGTAGTAGAGGCCAAGAAACCAGGTTGGGGCAGCTGGGTCCATGGGAAAGAGTTCTTGGGCATAGCACTGGACGGCTGACTTCACCGACACCACCGTCTGGCCCAGCGACAAGAACTGAAAGTACCTGTCCATGGCTGCACGGACGCTGGCTGGCCAAGCGAGAAGACCGCTGCTGCTGGGACCTGAGCTCTCTGAAAAGCCCAGCATGTGTACCTGGTCGAGTTGAAAGACATTGAGGACGGAGCAAGCCGCCACCCATTGCGTGCCCATCCTGATCATGCTGGTATGCAGCCTTCCGCTGCGCCTCACAGCATCGGTGGCCGCCAGGGAAGCGATCACGAGGCTGATGGCAGCATTCATACTCACATCTCCCAGAATGGCGAGAACTGCTGCCGAAAGTGCCTGTGAAGCCGGGCACGGCTGGCAAGGGCTCTGAAACCCCTCTCGGGCCCACTTGGCCGGGCACTCGCCACACAACATTCCGGCGGAGCCTTCTGCACAGAGGCTCCCTTGCCCGCCTAGGCAAGCACTAGTACCACCTTCAGTCATCACACTGCACTTGTAGACCGTCACAACACCTGTCTGAAAAAAGCCAGGTTTTGCTACCGGCATTTCATGGGTCTGGTCGGACTGGTTGCCGGAGCTTTTGCCAAAGCCTCCAGGGCAGTGGAGATTGGGAAGGGTAGCACAGCTCGCACATCTGGACAATGTGCCCTGGGAGTCAAACTCCGCAAAAGAACCCGGCTCGCAGAAGCATGCTGTTCGAGCTGTTGATCCTGGCTCGCTGTCAGCGTTGGCAGGGCACTGAAGAAGGCAAAAGCCATCATCACCTACCGCCTCCTTGTACCTGCCTCTTGGGCAAAGCTCACACAAAGATCCCGAAAGACCAGACCGGTAGCGGCCCTCCATGCATACGCACTCGTCAACAGACCTTGCTTGTCGGGTGGATATGGCGCCTGCCTGACATGGGATTTCTACACCTGTGCCATTGCAAAAGAAACCTTCCCGGCATTCAATGCAACTCCCCGCGTCCCCAAAGAGGCCCGGCCGACACAAGCAGTCGGCAGCCGATCTGGATGCCAGATGCAACGTGGACGTGTCGGCCGGACAGCTGGAGCAAAGGCTGTTCCCAGCCACGCCCTTATAGGCTCCCTTGGGGCATGCTTCACAAATTCCTCGCCGAACATCAAAGCCAAATCCTGGACCACATTCGCACACGGAAGGGTTCTCTGGCTGAGTGCTTGCAAAGTCCGGAAGGCAGGAGCACGAAGCAATCGAGGTGGCACCTGCCTCCGCGTCAGGACAAACTAAAAGCAACCTTAAGTCCGGTGGCTTGTTGGCTTGCTGTTATGCTCAACAAGTGTTACCAGGCAGCTGCGACCGCAGCTACAACCTGTCGTAGCTGCTATGGCTTCCTCTCAAAAACCCATGCCAAATGCCAACCATTGCCCACCCTTTGCCGGCCTGTGCAGTGCTTGAGCCGTATGGGCAGCTTAAGCAGGCGCGGCTCTCAGCAACCCAGTAAAAGCCGATGAGGCACGCACAGTCGGTAACGTCACCTGGGCACCGGGATTCAAAGCTGGATGTACAAAGTTTCAGATTTTTGGGTCTACCGTTGAGGCACGAAATAGCAACTCCGAGACTGCCAGTAGGAAAGCAGAAGCTCACAACTGAAGATCTCTGTGCAAAGCTCTTTGGGGTGGCATCTTGAGAAAACAAAGATCTGGTAGACATAAGATTCTTAAGATCTTACTCGGTGCGGAAAAAGGAAGCCTGAAAACGAACCTCACACGGCCAGCAGGCTGGAGCCGGAGTTTTTTCAAAGCTGACAATTTTCATTCCTTTCTGCGTGTTGGGGCATTGGATTTGGTTCGGCTTTGCCTACCAAAAACTGTCAGTGTCTGAGGTGGGTGGGTGGGTGGGTGGGGGGGGTCTTGCGTGTTGGGGGGCCTTGAATTTGAATTTGGCTTTGGCTCTTCCTACAGAAGAAGCTATCAGTGTGTGAGGGATGTGGGAATTGTTGCTTTGCATGTTGGGAGGTGGAGGTGGTGGTGGTGGTGGTGGTGGAGGTGGTGGAGGTGGTGGTGGTGGTGGTCGTCGTCGTAGTAGTAGCAGTAGCAGCAGCAGGAGTAGTAGTAGTAGTAGTAGTAGTAGTAGTAGTAGTAGTAGTAGTAGTAGTAGTAGTAGTAGTAGTAGTAGTAGTAGTAGTAGTAGTAAAGTAGTAGTAGTAGTAGTAGTAGTAGTAGTAGTAGTAGTAGTAGTAGTAGTAGTAGTAGTAGTAGTAGTAGTAGTAGTAGTAGTAGTAGTAGTAGTAGTATAGTAGTAGTAGTAGTAGTAGTAGTAGTAGTAGTAGTAGTAGTAGTAGTAGTAGTAGTAGTAGTAGTAGTAGTAGCAGTAGTACTAGTCGTGGTGCAGCCCGCTCCAAAGAAACATGGTCCTTGCTCAGGGGGCGACTGGAGCCGATGGGGGCTGTGCTCGCATGCGGGCAGCTTCGCAACTGCTGGCCTTTCGAAGAATATTCAACAGAAAGCTATGAGGGCAGTAATGGAGAATATTCAACAAAAAACAATGACAGCAGCCATGACAACAATAATAATAATAAGAAATGACATTAACTGACATAGCAGTGCAGGCGATACAAGCCTCCCGGGCAGTACTGGTCTGCAGGGCAGACATGGCATGCGCTCTCCAGCTCGTATTGCCCCGGCGGGCACTGGATGTGAAGGCGCAGTGCCGTTGCCTGGAAGTCCTCCAGGATGATTATCGGAATGCTAGGAAGAATCATAAAACAATAACAATAGCTGCCGCTACTGAGGGAATAAAAACGAGTAACAATTTAAGCCAAAAACAAACAGGCCCATCCTCCGCGGAATCGCAGGAATGGTTGAAGGGGCACCAGCAAAGCTCCACAACTTGTGGTGTTCCGGCCGAGTCTATCATTCCCGCATCCAGGAGCAAAGCATTGGCAGATTTGTATATTGTGACAACCAAGGTATACGTTGATGCAAGCATATGTTCGCAATCATCCCGCGCGATCAGGGAATCGTTGATAGAGATGCCGACGCCCATCCAGACAGGGACAGTGCACTTCCAGCCAATGTAGCAATTTGCAGACTGGTTGGCATACGGCCCTTCGGCAATGAAGCGGCCAACGGGGGTGGTGTGATCTTGTGCTTGGATGCAACTTGGACTCCCAACGCAGGAACACAGTTGGTAGCTGTCCGGCTCCATGAACAAGCGCGTGCCATCCAAAGGCGGCAAGCCATGGGAACTTTGGCAGCTGGTCTTTATCCAAAAAATGTCCATGCTCAGGTTGCCAGCTTCCGTACCTGCTGGGCAAGGCTGGCCCAGCTGGCAGCGCAAAGTTGGAGTGGGAGCTGTAGGTGTCATGACATATCTCCAGGTCTCACCCAGGTAGGAGCCGTTGAAGCCGCCAAAGAGCAGCAATGCTGGAGAGGCTGCGTCGAAGACCAGACTTGGGGAAGCGCGCGCGGATGGGCCCTGGGGCAGATCGGCACTGGCACCGGGAACTCCTGGGCCAAGCTCGGTCCAGATGCCAGTGAGGACGCTGAAGCTAAAGAAGCCGTCGCTGAAGCTGAGCGTGTTGCTTCGGTTCTGCACACCTCCAAACACAAGCATGCTGGCGGAGGCAGGGTCCCAAGCCGCAGCATGCCCACCTCGTGGCCATGGCACGGTGCCGGCAGCTGCGACTTCGGTCCAGCTGTCGGAGTTGGCGTCATAGCGCTGGAGGTTTGAAAGGTAACTTTGCCCGTCCAAGCCCCCAAAGACGAGCATGCTCCGGGTGGCGGCATCCCACACAGCTGTGTGCTTGCTGCGTGGCCCTAAACCAATCGTCAGTGGCCACCACGCTCGGTTCACGAAGCTGAAGTAGTGGAGCTCCGCCAGGATGTCCACCCCACTCTCTCCACCGAATACCAGCATGGCCCGATGCAGCGGGTCCCATACGGCAGTGTGGTATACACGCGGCCCGGGCCCTTTGCTCGAAAGCCACAGTGTCCACCGGTTTCGTGTGCTCTCGTAGGCCCACATGTCGCCGTAAGTCTCGCGCATGTGAGTTCCGCCCAAGATCAGCATGGTGCGCGACACGACATCCCAAACGGCGCTGTGGCCGAATCTGGGCGATGGACCAAAATCTGTCTGCATTTCGGCCCAGCTTCGCGAAGGCCAGTGGAACTGCCAGAGGTCATTGAAGTACTGAAAGGTGTTGGAAGCTTGGCCTCCAAACATCAGAGCAGAAGAAGTGTCCGCGTCCCAGATCATGCTCTGGTCCTGGCGCCGCTCGGGACCAGTTGCCGCCGTGTACTCGCTCCAGGCATCCAAGTAGCACCGCACGCCTCCGAACAAAGCCACAAGAACAAGAACAAGAGCAAGAACAGCACCCCAAAAAGGGCCCCCAAATCGCAAAACCGCTCTCATCCGCTTGAATCCACCAACTGCGAACCGCCACTCCTATAGCAGCTCCTACTAACCTCGCACTCCTCTCTCACGGAAATGGTCAGAGCAGCGCGTTGCACGTTGCGTCAGCGGGCCTGCAGCTTCCCGAGCAGAGCAGTCGTGGGTGTGCCAACCTCGAAAAGTGGCCAACAGAACTCGAAACACAAAAGCCATCTGAAGCCTCTCCCCCCACCTCCAGCCCAAAACTGTCATGAGTCATCGCACATTCCATCTCAGAATCTCTCATCCTCTCTCTCCCCTGTTCTGTCAGGTTCTATCCCGCTGCCCTCCGGTTCGCCCTCGCCTCGGAAGCTGCAGTCCCGCAGGAAGATTTCCGTGCCCTCACACACGAGGCTGTCGGCCAGGATTTCAGACGAGGCAAGCGCCGCAACCGTCTCGTCCAGCGAAGGGTCGGAGGCGGGGTCCCTGAGCAAGGCTCGGCCGCCTGCCATGCCAATATCCCGGCAGACCACCTGAACACTGAACTGTTCATCTGCTCTCTGTAGCATGAAAGCAGCAAGCGATGTCTTTGTTACCCGTTCGTCTGCCCTTTGTAGCCAGGAAACAAGTGATGTTTTTGTTTCCTGTTCGTTTGCTGTCTCTAGCATTGAACGCCGTGAAGTACCCTGTTTTGCTTCAGGCCACCTGCGCTGTGGCATCCGTGAAGCCGTCATCGCAGACCAGCCCAAAAGAGCCATTGTGCTGCAGCAGCAACCAGCCCTCATTTGAGCCTTCACCAATGCTCAGACCCTCAAGGCCAGCACCCGGCTTTTCTTTTTCAAAGAGCTCGGTGGGCACGAGGGCTGATCCCATGTCGCCCGGGTCACCACCCACATTCTTGGTGTGCCCAACGCCAAGCTCTCCATTGTTGTTGAGGCCCCAGCAGCGTACGCTGTCCTCCTCCAGCCGCACGCAGGTCAGATGGATGCCTCCCATGACCTGACCAAAAAACGGGCCGCAGAGAGCTAACAAAGGGTTGTACTCCATAAAGGTGCGCAGGTCGACTCCATCCACTGCATCTGATACAGGCAAGAGAGCTAACAAATTTAGCTGACTCCTGGAAACGGAACGCAGGCCGCGAAAAAGTCTTTTGGAAGTCTTGCAAGCTATTTGGAAGCAGGCGTGGTGTGGAGTCCCCTTGCGAAACGGCCCGGGTACTCCCCAACGCCACGCTCTCGCTCCAGCGGTGAGCAGTGAACGCACGGCTGGATTCACATTCATGGTTGTGATTGGTTGTGCATGGACATGGACATGGAGATTCATAGAGTTGCCCACAAAGGTTCCATGTAAGTTTCTTATAGAACTCTTACAGACATCTCACGCGCATTCGTGATCATTCATGCACATTCATGCACCTCGCGTACTCTGAGGTTGTTCAGCTCGACGGGGTGCAAGGCATCGCCCATGTGTTCCGGCTGATTGCCCAGCATCACCACACTAGTCCCCATTCCGAGCCTCAAGGCGTGCAAAGGTCTCTCATTACGCATGAAACGAAGGAAAACTGCTCTGAGGTCTGAGGTCATGGCTGTCCATGTGAATTTCGGCCCCAGCACTTCAGAGTCTCATCTTGCAGCATGGCACAGGTGTGCCATCCGCCAGCTGCCACCTTCATGACGGACACGCCGCTGCCTAGCAGAGTCTTGGGGAGGTTTGCATCCGCCGAAGGCTGTACAGAGTCGCTGTTACCGTGGCCCAATTGGCCCCACCCATTCTCGCCCCAGCACTTCAAGGAGTCATCCACCAGCACCTGTAGCTTCCAGTTGCAAGCTCGAACAAAGAAGCTTTCTTAAGGCGCGGGCTGCCGGATACTTCAAGATGCGGCGGGATGGTACTGGGATGGTGCATGCAAGCGTCTGCGCAGGTGTGGTAGTTGCCTGCAGAGATCTGCAGAACTTCGAGGCCCAAATCCAAGAAGGGCAACTGGTCGCCCATTTCGTTGGGCGAGTTCCCCACGCCGGCACTACTTCTGGTCGAGAAGTTCAGGCCGACGGCGGGGCCACGGCCCCAGCACTTGAGCTTGCCTAGGCTTGACAATGCACAAGTGTGCCGGTGCCCTGAGGTGATTTGCACAGCGTGGAAGTCGGTGCCGAGGTCAACGAAGGGTAGCCGATCGCCCATGTGGTCTGATATGTCGCCGCGATCCATCCTTAGCGGGTCCAGGCATGTCAAGCACAGAGTGCCCAGTCGGCATTTGCCCGCACCGCCCTTCACAACTGAGGCACGCACGTGTCACCCAAACCCAGGGCGTATCCGCGTCCCCAGCACTTCACGGAGCCACCGTGCAGCAACACACAGACCTGACGAAGGCTGGCAAAGACCTCGAGCGCGGTGACTCCCGTCCCCAAATCCACAGTGGGCAGATATATTCCCATTTCCATGGGCTCGTCACCAATGCTCTGTCCTGAGCTGCCCCCCAGCAGGCCATAAGAGCGTGCTCCCCAGCAGCTCACTGTTCCGCCGCGTCCGCCAGGTCCGAAAACAGCGCAACAAGAAGATCCGCTACAACCCGCATGCACTGGCTTTTGGCCACCCAGATCCAAGAAGGGAAGGTTGACGCCCATCTCCCCAGGGCCGTCGCCGATGTTGTCTGTGTTGCCGTAGCCATTTTTGCCCCCAGATCCTGATCCCCAACACTTCATGCCACGCGCGAAGAAGACGGCACAGTTCTGATCAAAGCCTCGATACAGTGAGAAGGGAACCGTAGTCACTGCACCTGCAGATGGTCTCTGAAGTCTCTCTCGCTTTTTCGCATGTCGAGGTCCTGCCTCATTTGCCTGTTGCCACATCCTGCATCTTACACCCTACTGTACTTGTTCAAGCCTTTGTCGCGCATTTTTTCACAAGGGACTCGACTGCTGCCCTTTCTGCCCAGCCCGCTCCCAAGTCGCGCATGAGTCAAGTATTAACGCTCCGGCTGAACGAAAGAAGTAGAAAACAATGTTGCATGCTATGGGTTTTTCTGCATGAAAAAATTGAGAGTGCGGTCGTAAACTGGGTGGCTTGATGTGATCGTGGAAGTGAAAGGAAGTGAAAGGCTTCGGCTATACGGCAAGGGGGACTGAAAAGCTTTGGCAACTTACCTTATCCATTAGGCGCCTGAACCTGCGGGCACCCAGGCGACCACCGAGTCCAAGGCATGCACTCCAATATCCCATTGCTGTGAGGTGCTCACGAACCGCAGCATCTCCGTGCCCGCGGGCAGGCTGACCTTGGCTTGCAGCCAGGCAGCGCCTTGAGAACCACTGCGTGACCAGCGCCGTGACCAACGGCCTCGACGGAAGCACTGCAACTCCATGCTAAATATCCCTGAGCCCGCCATGTGATAAGCAAACTCCAAGTAGAACTTGCTGGCGGCCGCAGGGAACACGGGACTCATAAGGACGTCCTGTGAGGGCGAACATGCGGCAACTACGGCAAGCTCTCCCCATCTTTCGCAAGCCTTTGGAACAGTAGAAAGCTACCGTCTAAGAGCGATTTGCACACACAGCCTTGCTTGCTCTACCGTCTAAGAGCGATTTGCACACACAGCCTTGCTTGCTCAGGCCCTGCCTCTAGAGTCACATCGCCGTTCATCCCTGCCTGTAGAGTCCGACCGCCATCGGCAATTGAGGTGGCCATGTAAAAGTCGCTGCGGAAGGCTGCGTCGGGGCTCGCGGAAGCCGGTTGTGGCCCACCGAACCGCTGCCAGACACCAAAGACTGATGACCACCCGCAATGATCGACTTCGAAGCTGCAAGTCAGATTTGCGAAGCTGGACACAACATCTGCAACAGAGACCACACCAACTTTCGCTTTTTCCCACGCAGAAAGGTTGGCCAGGAGCCGAAGGCCAACGGTGCCTTCGGGGACTCGGATGGAGGCAGCCTTCCAAGTGTTGCCAGTGTCTCCGCTCTCCACGAACAAGGTCGACCAGACAGCGAACTCTGTCTTGTGCTCCACCTCCAAGGACACTGAGCTCGACCCAGTCATCATGTAGGAAAAGACCACCACCTTCTCTGTGGTGACATTCAACATAGGGCTCTCGATGATGAACACTTGGCCGTCGGAGGCATTATTGCCGTCAGCCTCCAACCACCCGCCGGAGGCCTGCCAACTGACATTGCCCGTGCTGACCCATTTGCATGTGTGGAATGTAAATGCGCAAGCGATGTATTCTAGGTCCAGAACAGGTACGCCGACACCAACACCGATGGCGTCCAGAGCAATGTCGCTAGTCCAACTACTGCCCGTGATGCCCACAAACCGCAGCATCTTTGCATCCTGCGGAATGACAACCTTGTAGCTCTCCCAGAGCGGCCCTCGATCACCTGCTTGCAGCCAAAACGTTGTCCAGCGGCTGCTGCCCAACGACTCCAACCTCAAGCTTCCCATGGCTTCGCCGTTCATGTTGTTGGCAAAGAGAAGATGCCTCGTCACGTTGCTGCGCTCAAACATCGGAGATGTCAGGAAAAAGGCCTGCAATCGGATGAAGGGCAGTGCTTTGTTGACATATTTAGAACAGTGTGTTACGGAATCGCCATCACAGGATCCAAGCTGTCCTGGCCCCCGCACTACCACTTGCAATTATCAGAACCACCGCCCTCTTCAAGACATGCGCTGTGTGTGTGCCCACCCGAAGGGCAAAAACTAGTGAAATGTATATACAGTGAAGGTGTAAGCGGAATGGGATACCGATGACACTCTGGAAACGCCTCCGCATGTGTATAAACTCATTGCCTGTGCACACAGAAATCGATTAAAGTGAGCAAAGCCCTGCAGAGCCCTGCCTTGTTCCGTGCCGGAGTAGCTTCCGTGTAAACATACCAGTCTCCCTCGAAAGCCCCTGCTGGCCCAGTTGAACCTGATGGGGTTGCGCCCCGCTGGGTGCGCCACTGGTTCTCGAAACCGGACGACCACCCACAGAAGTCAACCTCGAAGTTGCAACCAATGTTTGCAAAATTCGCGCTTTCCGCAGCCAAAATCTCATCCACTTTGACCACAGCCCCAGCACCAGCACCGGCCAGGAGCCGAAGGCCAACGGTGCCTTCGGGGACTCGGATGGAGGCAGCCTTCCAAGTGTTGCCAGTGTCTCCGCTCTCCACGAACAAGGTCGACCAGACAGCGAACTCTGTCTTGTGCTCCACCTCCAAGGACACTGAGCTCGACCCAGTCATCATGTAGGAAAAGACCACCGCCTTCTCTGTGGTGACATTCAACATAGGGCTCTCGATGATGAACACTTGGCCGTCGGAGGCATTATTGCCGTCAGCCTCCAACCACCCGCCGGAGGCCTGGCCACTGGCACGCTGCCAGCTGGCATTGCCTGTGTTGAACCAGACACAAGTATCGGAATCGAAGCTGCAAGCTGTTGCCTCCAAGGTGACCTGCCAGAGTTTCAATTCTGGGCTACGCGCGAAAGCTCGAGGAGCATACACAAAGGACCAATTGCCAATGCCCGTGTCTGGCATGTCTAGTAAGCCTTGAGAAGATCCAGGGTACAAGCTCCCGCAACACTTCTCGGGAACACCGCACTTTTCAACCAGGCAAAGATCGGTAAAACATGATGCTCTTGCTTTTAGTGTCATCTCTTTACTGGACATCCAAAAAGGTAGGCCCGCAGCCTCTCCCAGGCACGACCAGGCCATGCTGATCAAGGCGAAAACCAACGAAGGGGCGGCAGCCATGATGACATCCTTGTGAGAAGGCGTGGTGGGTTTCTGCGTGATGTGCCTTTTCGTGTATTCATGACGGACCCCAGGCGGTGTAAGACCTGGGAGTTGTCCAAGACCACTCTAAGAGCTCCACAAAGACCACAAGACCACTCACAGAGCCTTCCACTCCGGCAACGCTCCAAATGAACATCCAAGAGCTCTCTAGCAGCACTAAACAGCACCACTCCAAGAGTAGTCCTTCGTCAAAACACACAAATAAACAAACAGGCAGACAGACAGACAATAAAAACACAACTGAAAGCAAGGATGAGCTTGCGCATGCGAAGCTTGCTCGAGTAGGATCGCCAACTTTGGTTTTCGGCTTCTCATGCTGGAGGACAAAAAACACACCTAAGCATGCCAACCCCAAAAACTGAGGCGCATGCTTCTCGGGCGCTCAGGCGGCCAGAAGATCTTTGAAACATAAGTGCTGCGCTGCTGCACATGTTGCACCGTGTAACCACGTGGAACCACGAGAAAAGATACGTTGATCTCCATGAAGAGCGCCACTTAAGCTTGCATTCCAAAAGCAGTGACAAGATGAATAAATAACAGAATGAGCATGAATTAACCGCCAATAGTACTAAGTAACACTAGTAGAAACGATAACAGTGGCGGTAGTAATGCACAAAAAAGGCCCGAATGTTTTTCGTGACTGTCTTTTTCTTTGTCCGGTTTTCGACAGCCCTCTCACACGAAACGCGTCTCACGACGCCTAAACTCGGGCTCCGGTACGTTCTCGAGACGCGATCGGTGGCCCTCTCACACCTTATGTTTCGCTTTCTGACCATAACACATGATAACACATGGTCGTTCAAAGGCAGTCTCTCTCTCAAACGAAACGCGGCTCGAAGCACCACAACTCGAGGCTTGGTACCTTTACAAAGGACGAAACGCGGCTCGAAGCACCACAACACGACCCCCTTCCCCTGTTCTTTGGTTCCCTGTACCACAACTTTGATTTGTTAATGGGCAGCTGGTCTCAGTGCCGAGGACAAACTGGGAGACTGGATGCCCAGTGCCCGCGATTCCTTTGAAATCTGCTCTTTGCAACCAAGCAATGTTTCAGATCTTCATGAAAAAATGTCATTGACATCCTTTGTGCGGTTGTAAAGTGGGCGCACTGGGAAGTACACTGGGCCGTGAATTGGGTTGCAGAGTCGGAGGGTCGGGGGGTGGGGGGGTTCCATCAGTCTTAAGAGCTACCCTCCAGCCGAACTGTACCTTTTTGTCTCAGGGACAGGTAGCAGTAGCGCTTTATACTGTAGCAGTAGCGCGGATCACCCTGCACTGCAGGAGCCCAGCTCATTGAGATGACAAAGGCTGGTAGTCTGTTGGGCATGCAAGCTCCACGGCATGATCGCAAGTGCGTCAAAGTGGGTTCAGAGGTTTGGGCTTAGGGTTGAGAGTAGTAATGTCAAAAATGAGACTTTATAAAGGGGTACGCAGCTCATGGAATCAGCAATTGACGTACCGGACCACCGAATCCAATACCATTCAGCTCTGGGCAATGCATAAGCACTTTTTCCCAGAGGGCTTGAAAGCGATACAGCGGCAGCATTGCGGCAAGCATGCATGTTGATGCCACATGGAATGCACAACGGAGAAGCAGGATATCATCCGATTAAAAACAACGCCCCCCCCCCTCCCTCACCGAGCAATGACAAATTGGTGAGGTGCTACTTAGCCGTTCTGGGTTTGCTAAGTACTTATGCGAAATTTTTTGCTTCTTAACCGATTGTGATTTATACCTTGTTACAGTACATTGATTTGTTCGAGGCTCATGCCGGAAAAACAACATGCCAGCATGGTTTTCCGTGGCCATGCTTCCGACGCATGTATATCAAGCCTGCAAAGGCTGAAGTCATGAGCCATGCAACCTTGTTTGTGTCCGATACGTGGAAGAGAAAATCAATCTCTTTGCATGGGCTAGGTGTGTAATTGGAATCGGTTCAGCTCCATCATGAATGTACCTGAGCCATGTCCTCCAATAGTCTGCACATGCATGGAAAGCCTGTATGGCTTAAACACGGATGGAAAGACCCGTGACAAAGAAAGTGTGGTCTGGACCCACGCAAATGGTGCGAAGACGTTGTGGTTAAAGCAGATTTGGGCTTCTGGATGGAACGAGTGACAATTTGATTGAACATTTGTACGGACATGTCTTGTTTGTCAATCTGTGGATTGTGGGTGTGTCGATAAGGCTTCTTATCGGATAAGCAGCATGCAAGGCAGGAGGCTGACCTCTGCATGCAAGACAGTGAAAGACACTCATCTTCTGCAGAAAGGAGTGACATGATTCACATGTGGTATGCCTTGCACGAAGTGCCAGTGCCAGCCCGCTCCAACAACTTATCAGAATCCGTTTTGTTGGCTTCTTCCTGCTTGGGTCCTAGAACGGCTTCCTGCTTGTGTCCTACAAAGCTTGCACGTTAGCCTAGCCTGTCGGCCAGTATGATAATACAAACAGGGGTTACTACGACCTTGTCGGAAGTTGAGCTAGCACCGTCTTTATCGCCCGTTCCCAGTCAGCTGGGGCGTCGCTGGATTCGCCAGCTTCCGGCGGCACCACTGGCAGTCGCCTCCTAACGTCCGAACGGGACTCCAGAAGTGCGCTTTCTCAACGTCCATGAACATCACGCAGACTTCGAGGGTTTGCAGCCGCCGAAAGGGGGAACATGGCTATTTGCGAGGGAGCCATTCCCGGAACTCCTCCAAAATGCAGTAATTTGCAAGAAAACCATTTCACGTTAAAATTCATTTGGAATTACTATGCAAATGACGACTTTGAGGCCCGGGGGTTCGGGAGGACTCGAGGAGCCATTTCGCGTACCTGTACTTAGTTTGTACGACTACCAACGAGTTTGGAGGCCAGGAGCTCCGATTTGTCTCTAGGCCCAGAGCGTTGGGTTTCGTTGCACGAATTTTTGAGAGAAACCAAAGCAGACAAAACTTCCAATGCGCGAATCTCCCCCAAATTTTGTCTCATTTTTGCTGTACACTTGCGCAGAAACAGGAACAAGAAGCGGACAATATTTGGTGTGATTCGCGCCTCATGATTTTGCACGCTGGGTTCAGTTGTACATTTGAGCAACAAGAAAGCGGACAAATTCTGGTGCGATCGCGTGTCTCCATTTTGTCTTGCGGCCGCGCGAATCACACCAGGTTTTGTCCGCTGGGTTTTGTTGTAAGTTATAGTCATTCCCACCCGCCCCCTCCCAACAACCCCCCTCCCAAGAATCCAACCCAATGCTCCAAAATTCAGAGAAAAGTGATTTCCTATTACTAGCCACCAGCTACAAGCCTCCTGTCACGAGTCAAGTGAGGTTGGTCAGCACCCTTGGGAAAAGCGCGCAACCTGGACTGTCCCTCCCTTCCTCCCGTCTGTTTGTCTCGCTTACGCTGCACTTCCACGACTGCGCCATTGAGTCGTCCATCTCGTGGCCTATGACAAGTGCGCCCATGCGCAGGGTGCTCCTGCCAGGCTTTCAAGAAGGGACATGTATCGTACAGGCCTCGGCCCGCCATCGGCTCTGGCGTCATGCTGTCAAAGCTTTCGAGAAAAGTGCACACTGCGTCTTTTAGTCAACATTGGACTCAAGACCGGCATCCGCTTGGTGCTGTGATTGCTTGCTGGCCTCGTACATCTAACAGACCGCCCTCGAGGGGCAAATCTTGGAAAGAGGTGGATAACGTAAGGCGCTAGACGTCAAGCCGCATCAGGACACTCTGGACAATCCAAGACTGAGGCAGTGCAGGCAGTGTAGGCGTGGAACTTTCGTTGGTGACATGGTGCCCCCTGCAACCAAAAGGGGTGACAGAGTGGGGCCCGCTGGGCCCGAAGCATCTCTAAAGGCGCGGTGGCGGTGGCCAAGCGAGATGCTTCGAAAGCCTCAATGGGGGCAACCAAATCAGGGCAAGGCAAGAAGTGGTAGTGCGCTTGAAGTGCAATGAAGTGGCCATATCCTACCAAGTCCGTATCTTGCACATTCCATAGCTCGAGGTGTACTCGGACATCCTGCGTCAAGCGCTGTTGCCACAGCAGGCTATGACAATGGCATGCTTCTCACGGGAGAGATGTGCTTCGCGCTAAAGAGCTAGCGACGGCTCTGGCTGAGGTTATTGGGTGCTCAAGGAGCGAGCTGTGGAGAGGTGCCTCCTGTTGGCTACAGATCTGCAGAGCAGCTGCTCTCTGGTTCGTTGCACAGGAAGCTCCGACAGGTAGGCATACACTCCAAAGTCAAAGCAGAAGAGGACCCGCTTCTGCAGAGCACATGTCACGTCGACGTTCTGTTGCGACAGTGCTGACAGCAGCACGTAGTCCAAGGGCTCCATGTGCTGCCAAGAATGCCAAGAACATCCTTCTCTTCTGCAGTCTATGCTGACTTCAACATCTGTCAACATCTGCCCGCCGCCTGACGACTTAAACCTTTCGCAATGACTTGATTGTGTTTTTTGCTTATTCTGGGCACTTTCCGGGCGTGCCTCTGCAGCTGGCCTACGTCTGAACACCAATGGTCTAGAAAAACACAATGCCGATCCTGTGACCACAAGTACACGTTCATCCTTTCTCACACGCATCGGAGAACTCTACATGCATACATTCACTCAAATCCACTGTGCTCACTGCACTCGGTGTCTTGGCCTATCAGACATGCCCACCGCACACTCTAACCCAGCACAGGCCACCAACCGTACTGCACATTCCCCTAAATGCCAAAGGGCCAGCGCTCGATTTGCAGCACGCGCCAGTGCAATTCGTCCAGAAACGCCGGGTTGGTTGCACGATGGCGTCGCCGCTGTAGCACTTGGGAGCTAGCACTTTCCTAGCACTTTCTTGGCACTTTGAGGTGGTTGCCTGTGCATGCACTCGCGCACAGCTCGTCGAGGACACCGGAGCTCACGAGCATACGAGTCCACGCCCCAGTCGCCGAGGCCGGCCGGCATGCTGCAAGAGAAAAAGAACCGATGCAGCCGTTCGCTGGACGCAGAGCATGGGCCCCACTCAGATCGGTGTCGCGAGCTGTGTGAGACTTGCAAGCTCACCATCGCACGACATTCCCTGTCCGCTTAAGCACGTGCTTTCTGCCACGCCTGCACCTGCAAGGCATGTATTATGTTCTAAACAACTTCGTCAAGTCGCTGCTTGGCCGAGGCCGCACCAACATGTTCTGGCGCTTAGGCTTAGTCTGTGCAAGGCAAAAAGAAGAAGCAGTGGTGGACTCGGCATTCACTGCGCCGATGCCTGTCCTGCACCGGCCCATAAGGTGGGATGGTGGCCACCGACCGTGGGCTGCGGGCTCGTCTTCCGCTTTCCCGCAAACTTTTGCAAACTCCGCCTGGATGCCACAGTGCAGCATCACAAGTCTGGATGAGCGAGCAGTCCATGCCCTTAAGGCCTTTCAAGCCGAGCACCAAGCTCAAGCTCACCCCTGAAAAGCCTACAACTCCTAGAGCCTTACCGGGCATCTTCCTACAGCGTGCTGGGACTGCCAAGA